CAAGGAGCTCAACTTGATGTCGGAGATGGGGGTGTATGAGCTCATACCCCTACCCCCGGATCGTTGCGCAATTGGGTGTAGGTGGGTGCTGGAGTTCAAGGACGACCTTAAGGGAGGTCCGGTCACCAAAGCGAGGTTAGTCACCCAAGGGTTCTCACAAATACCTGGCATGGACTTTGGAAAAATGTTCGCTCCCATCGTGAAAGCGACTTCGATCCGGGTGCTCGCAGCATATAGCGCAGCACATAACTGGGAGTTGGATTGTTTTGACGTGCGATGTGCTTTCCTCTGGGGGAAGCTCCAGGAAGATGTGTACATGCGCCAGCCCCCTGGCTTCGAGTGCTTTGGTCCTGACAGAGAACGGCTGGTAGCACACCTGTTGTCGTCCTTGTACGGCCTAAAGCAGGCCACCTATGACTGGTATGAGCTTCTTCGCGTGGTACTCATCAGTCTAGGGTTCCTACGCTGCAAGGCGGACTATGCCGTGTTCATTTATGACCGAGTCGACGGGGAGGGTAAAAGAATCAGATGCATTATCGCGTGGCATGTGGATGACAGTCTCGCTGGGGCAAACAATCGCCTGTTTCTTGATCAAACCAAGGCAAACATTGCTTCATGTTTTGGCATCACCGACTTGGGGCCGGTCACTAAGTACTTGGGCATCCAGTTCGTTCGCAACCATCAGACGCGCGAACTCTGGATGCACCAAGAAGACTATGTCATTTACCTTCTACAGGAGCATGGCATGTCTCAGTGCAACCCCATCTCACTCCCTATGGACCCAAACTTCCCTTTTGGTCGTCCCACCGACGTGCATCCTCGTGTCGACGATCTCGAAGCCGAGTATCGCAAAATCATCGGGGAACTCCTCTATCTAGCCATGTACACGTGTCCAGACATTGCTCATACCGTCATGTGTCTTGCTCAACACAATTCCTCCCCTGAACCTGCCCACTACATGGCTGCCAAGCATGTTCTACGGTATCTTGCAGGGACCATCAATACATGAACACACTATGGAGGCCATGGTACGAACACCTTGTTGCACGGCTTCAGCGACTCAGACTGGGCCTCATGCCCAGAAGATCACATCTCCATCTCTGGCTACGTTTGGTTCTATAATGGGGGGCCAGTTTAACATTCTGCGAAGAAGCAGATGATACATGCTTTGTCCTCGACGGAGGCTGAATACATGGCACTAACCGCTGCAATCCAGGACGGCCTATGGCTGAAATCCTTCTTTGGATGTGTCGGGATCTCACTCACCCTCCCACTTCAGCTCTTCACTGACAATGCAGGCACCATCGCGCTGTTGAAAGAAGCTGCTAATCACATCAGAATGAAACATATTGACCTGCAATATCATTTTATCAGGTGTCATATTGAAGAAGGAACATTTCAGCCAGTCTGGCTTTCTACCCACAAAAACGTCGCCGACATCTTCATGAAATCACTTCCACAGCCACTGTTCACACAGCATTGCATGGGACTTTCACTTGTATCAGTTTGAGGGGGTGGCACGAGTGGCTAGACGTTGAGTATGTCGTTGAGGGGGTGTGTTGTAGGTTCAATGATGTCATCATTAGTTTGTTCATGTTTGCATGGACTCTTACATAATTTTACCTTATAATCTTTCCTTTCTCATCTGCTCGTACCTCAGCAGTTCTCTTCCGAACTCTGAGGTACGTTGTGCGTTCATCATGCACGCCGGTTCTATTTCACTTATCTTTGTCTTTAGCATTTGTCTTTAGGTACAGTCAATGTCACACAGCAGTTCTCTTCCGAACTCTGAGCATTTGTCTTTAGTTCCATTTCCTACAGGAACTAATTTTCCTATGGGTCAAATGTTGAAGCCAGAGTGGTCTCAGACAAACTCAGGTCACTTTGGTTTTGGTAGAAAATGTTACAGCTGTTTTCAAAAATATGCGGAATCGCAAAAGTTGAAACTTGTATGTTGGAAATGCCCGGCCAGGACCCTGCAAGCACTTGAGGCACTACAGTGTGCTGTCAGCGCTTCAGCGCTCACCATCATAGTCAGTATGCCACCGTGCACTGTTTCAGCAGACTTAAAAGCTTGAATTCCTATTCTACGTTGACATGGGCATTCTGTCAAGCATATATGCCATCTGCTTGGGATCAAGAAGACTCTCGTATACAAAGTCTTACAACTTTTTCCCTTAGTTTCACAGTACTGCTACAGCAATCAAGGCCGGTGTCGCAGCCTCACTGTCGACGACATCGCATTCATTACAACCATCCTTCGTCATCATCCTACCATCTATCTTGATGAGCTGCAACAGGAACTGCATTCTCACCATGGTGTGTTTGTGTCTCTACCAATGCTCTTTTGCACATTTAGTTGGCTGCATGTCAATTGCAAGTGTATTTCAGCATATGCTCTTGAAAGGAATGAGGAACTACATGCTATGTTCATGAATAGTATTGCTGAGATAGTGCCTGACCCAGAAATGTTGATGTTCAGAGATGAGGCTGCAAAAGATGAAAGAACAATCATTCAACGCCATGGGAGATCAAAAATTGGAACAAGGTACGTCAAACAACCATACTTTTTCCTCTCAGTAACCCTGTATTGTGACTTGTCATGTTTTGCAAGGATGATAGTCAGAAATTCAAGGTAGTTGGGCTCAGAGATTTGAAATACAAGTTCCTTGACTTTTGTAGACTTGACTTCCTTGGACTTTGCTTTGCCATTAGTTTCAGTAGTATGTATCAAGATGGACAATGAATGTAGCCCTAAATTGAGGTATCTCAACGGAGGGTGATGGCGATGACATTGTCTTTCAGTGAAGCACTCTGAATTGGTGCTGGATTGGTCACTCAAGTGCTTATGAGGTCCTGGCCGGGCATTTCCAATATGTGAGTTTCAACTTTTGCAATTCTGCATATTTTTGAAAACAGCTGTAACAAAAATTAAGTTTTTGCTTGCATTTTCGTTAGTTACTATCAATTTGTGTCATTCTTTCACATATACCTTCTACTCAGTGTATCTACACATTGTGATCCGACATTACATCTACCCCTTTATGTTTTTGTTCTAATATTTCCATAAAGCAACATGATGACCACATTTTCAACAAGTCATATACTTACATATATTTTGAGTAAATTTCAACTGTAATGAATCTTTATTTAATCTTTTTTCATTGGAATCAAGCTAGTAATTTTTTGTCTATGAATGCCAGCAACATATTACCTCGATTCTGATCACATTTTAGACAGACAGACAAAAAATTACTAGCTTGATTCCAATGAAAAAAGATTAAATAAAGATTCATTACAGTTGAAATTTACTCAAAATATATGTAAGTATATGACTTGTTGAAAATGTGGTCATCATGTTGCTTTATGGAAATATTAGAACAAAAACATAAAGGGGTAGATGTAATGTCGGATCACAATGTGTAGATACACTGAGTAGAAGGTATATGTGAAAGAATGACACAAATTGATAGTAACTAACGAAAATGCAAGCAAAAACTTAATATTTTCTACCAAAACCAAAGTGACCTGAGTTTGTCTGAGACCACTCTGGCTTCAACATTTGACCCATAGGAAAAGCCCCCAGTGTGGATGATTCTCCATATGGTGAATGAGCAGAATATTACAGCTGTTTGCATATATGTTGGCAGTCACATCGTTTTTTTTGTTCAATTAGGAAACTTAGGACTTAGTGAAAATCATACTATCAACAGCTGGTATACAACATGCTGTTTTGCAAGATTAGCCATGATGTCAAACTCGCAGCGATCCAACTACACGAACGTGAACTTTTGAGCCTTGCGGACATCTTGGATTGCTGCGGATTTTTGGAATGGACTTGGTTCCGCATTTTGAAGCTCTGGTGGGAAACTGGCGACATTGTTGACCCTCAGCCTCACAGAGTACTCCATGGTCGTCTGCATGTGTTGGATTGTGAGGATATTGATTGCTTGCTGCGTCTTGTCAGACAGAATCCTGACTACTTCTTGGATGAGTTCATGCACCTCCTGCAAACCAATCGATTCATATCTGTCCACTTCACAACAATATTCCATGAGCTTGAGCGTGCCGGTGTAAGCTACAAGAAACTCAAGTGGATTGCCTCAGAATGCAATGAGACTTGTCACGCTGAGTTCATTGCACACATGGCTCAATATGAAGCATCGGAGCTAGGATTCATTGATGAGACATCAAAGGATGAATGGACACCTGGTAGGTGCTATGGACGAGCAAAGTCAGGCAAGCGTGCAGAGATAGATCAAGTATTTGTGCGGGGATGATGAACATTAACAGAAGCCCTTCTCACACTCGATGGGATCATTGCTACGACAGTTGTCGAAGGCTCGATGACTCAAGAACTGTTCTTGGAGTGGCTTGAGAACATTGTTGTAAGTCCTATGGATGATTACCGAGAGCTAACAGAGACTTTCAACCAGCTACCAAAATGTTCAGCCTACCCTGGTCCTCTCAGTGTCCTTGTCATGGACAATGCCAAAATTCATCATGGCGCAGAAGTTCTTGAGCTAGTTGACCATTTTGGTGTGTTCACTCACTAATATCTTGTGTTCTTCGTTATAATACAGTGTTTTGGTATTTGCAGGTATGCATATCGAGTATATATATATACCACCATACTCACCCGATCTCAACCCTATTGAAGAGGCATTCTCAAAAATCAAGCACTGGCTCCGTTGTCACCAACAATATTATCTCACTGCTACAGGTGATGGTATCATCTTTGATATGTATGAGGTTACAGAGATCATATCTTCTGATGATGCACACAGATATTTCATACATGCAGGGTATTTCTAGACTATGAAACAGTTTGTATAGTATACATGGTATTGGCAATGTAGTTGTGAGCAGGTCCAAGTCCTATGAATAACATATCAAGCACAAGGGAGAGACCACCTTTCCACTGCGTCGCATAATGCAGCAATCTCACCCAACTGAAATCCCATCTCCTTCAACTCTGGAATGGTTACGAAGTGAAGGAATCAAGCTTCTTTGTAGGCATTCTCAGCAAGCTTTGCATGAATGGTGTTGCCTAGGTCATATTCTTCACAAAACTTGTTGAGTGGCATGTCTGTTCCTTGCATATGAGATGGATGAAGGAGAGAGGTACATGTAGGGTTGGAGGGGGCTGCAGCTGCAGCCAGTGGTATCGTGGGAATAGCAGGCACCTGTGGGTGAAAAAAATCGATGACTTCATTTCCGATTGTGAAGCTGAAAACTGGGGCAGATGATGAAGATGATTTAGTGTTTTGGGTGTTGAGCCACCGCTGTAGTACAGGACTGATTGCTGAAGGACGAGAATCGAAAAGCTTGTGATGTGGTGGCTTATTGACAGTTGCCATCCCATCATCCTTGAGCTGCGCACATCAATTGATTAGTAAAAAAGTCCTCAGGAAATAACTCACCATCGCAGATGCCCAACAGTCAAATTGTTCATGTCTGAGTGGGAGGTGTTCTTCAGTTTCTGGGTTGATATAGCAGTGTTTGGAGGGGCATGCTGAATCTGTCCTCTTGCACTTCCAGCAAGCTCGAAGAATTTGAATGTTGTTCAACTTCCTCTCATTTCCAGGAAGGAGAGCAGAGGATTCTTTCTATGGAGGACATGGTCAGTAAGGAATGTACCAAGAACACTATAAAATTCACTCGTTTCTTATTCTTCATTGGTGCATGTTCTGCATTATCCTCATTTTCATCATTGCCAGTGTTTGCTCCCTGAACTTGGCCCTGGACAACAGTGATGTTGACAAGCGAACTCACAGCATTCATTCCATTCACGCGCTTCATCATACCATTGAAATCAGCTTGTGTTATGAGTGACAATCTAGGTTTTGGGAGGACTCGTGGGATCTGGTATGTAAGGGCATAGTTGTCGAAGTCAAGGACACGGAGCTTGATTGCATTGGAAATCTTCACAAGTACCTGGGCCTTGAGAGTGTCCCAGGGTTCATCAGAGTTCAGGTTGACAGAAATGCTGATAGGCTCGTGTTTGGTTTTTGCTTTCTTCATTTCAGCAGCAGAGAATACAGTGATGATGTAGGAGACCTCCTTTGTCACTGGGGTTGGCAATAGTACCTGACACAATGATCAATGTAAGACCCTGAGTATATGTGCGAAATTACATGAACATACCTCATTTTCACTTCTTTATAATTGTTGGAGGAGGTGTAGGGATCCTTTGTGATTGATTGGGTCCAGCAGCTATGTTGAGTTCATTGCTCTCGGTGTTGTTGGCCTCAGGGTCATCGTCCACCTCCATCTGGTCAAGAGCATCAGGGATAGTACTGGTATTGTGAAGCTGCAGATTGTCTTCATCGAAGCTGCTATCTAGGTCCTCCTCGAGCATGAGAGCTGGATGGTTATGTGCTGATTTTTGTGACATCGCAATACATAGGAGTTTAAACGCAGTACTATCATCAAAAAATTCTAAGTCTTAAGTTTCCTAATTGAACAAAAAAAATGACGTGACTACCAACATATATGCAAACAGCTGTAACTGAGTATAAAAAACAAGATGAAATTGTTAATAAAACTAAGTACATCATTTGTAAGAAATAGAAGGAAAAGAAAAGAATCAGGAAGGAATGAAGACAGCCTGAGTGAATCAGAGTGATGAGATGAAAAATGTATAAGTGAGCAAATATACATATTGTGAAAATAAGCAAGCAAATTAAATAATATATTATGCCAATATAGGGAAGTATTTTTACTAAGCTTGTAACAGCCCATTTTGTCTGAATTACTTCCTATTATATCTGACACTTTATATTTTATACAGGACCTTTAAAATGACCTGCCTTCAGATTCAAATGTCTCATACTAGACTCTATCTTTCATTTCATTGCTTTGGCAATCCATATCAAAATAACATTCTTCTAGTATAACTTGGAGACCACAAGAGTCTTGAAATGTCATCAGTAAACCTTTTGGATACACTTATTCAATTTATTTCTGTAAGCTCTAATGTTGCTTAAATTGCTATATCATACTGGTTAAGGCTAAAGTCTGTTGTTTTGAACAAGAGCTTCCTTATACTTGATGATATTCCATCATTATTTTCTTGGCATGGAGATAAACATGACATCAGTAAATATTTTGATATTGTGTTTCCAATTAGTAATGACATTTCATGGCTAGCTACTGATATTTTATATCTGCTAAGTCAAATATGTATGATAATTGGATGTTTCAATTGCCAGAAACTTATGGAAGCTACTTAGCCCTATAGTTCTCTATACACTTAGGAGAGATCCTATTGCAACATACTTAGTTGCTTTCAAATGTAATCATAAGCCTACTTATATTATGGTATGTATTGATGCATCTACACACAGTTTGTCATGTTAATTTTCACTACTCATATGTAGTTGTATGGCACAACTTAGCAAGAGAAAATCCCAAGCAATTAATTAAATACTAGTATGACATATTTTAAGTTTCTATATAGGAGATTGAGTGCTTAGAGACAGTGATGGTATCACAAGTATCAAACACAAATCATTATTCTTTTTTGAACTCTAAATCCTTGAAATGCTCAGTCACAGCACCTATACCTAAGAATTTATTTATGGTTGAAGATATTCCCACTATTACATCTATTGTAAAATTACCAGAATCACCTGTGCCTAATTTATGATGACTTCATATTATGTGTGTTAAGACCATGCACAGAGGGTAGGACTGATTCTGAGGGGCTTGGCTTCAGCTCGTGCACTGCGCCCCTTACCCAAGTATGTGCCCTTAATTTCAGATTGATGTCCGGAGAAAGTCCAAGGACGTCCAAAGGACATCTGAAGGTGCGGGAAACTTTGGAAGGACTTTCTGGATGGGTGCAAGTAACTTCCAGATGAGTGTGGGAAAGTTCTGGAGGAACTTCCAGAAATTACAATCAGGTTTTGTCCTGATATGAATATGTATAATGGCTACTCAGGACTTGTCCTGAGTAGAAGCAAACAGAGGAAAGGCTGCAAGGACAAAGTCCAAAGAAGAATAGGTCCGGAGGACCACGGTGTAGAGACTCGCGCGTCTCAATGCCGAATATCCGGCCTTTACCCATACATTCCTATATGCGACAGCTCTAATCCTAAGGACCAGTCTCGCGCGCGCCTTATCCGTACTCGCGCGCACTTAGGCGCGCCTTCTCCTAGGTCTTCGCGCTATCGTCCATCCATTCGTCCCATGTCCTTACTGATTCGCTGGTGTGTTATTCCTATCTTGTCCATTGAACTAATAAAATCTTCAGTCCGACGTCCGTGCTACATATAGAAAGTCTATTCAAACTTAGTTATAATTAGAGTTGATATGGTTACTCGGTTCGGGAGTGCGCTCGGAAGCGCGCCGCTTAGCGCAATCTCCATTCTTAAATACAGAAGGGTTTCCTTTGGTTCTGGTACTTACTTTCCCCTTATCTTTGTGTACTGGAAAGTGTATAGATCACCTCCTCACTTGTTATAAGATCTTATTCTCCTGTCAATCATCCATCTGGGCATTCACTCCTCAATAGGACCTTTCCCTTAATGCTCAAGGCCCGCCTTCGCTTCGCGCACGCGCATTCTCGAACCTCCCGCTCACGTGCGCATCTCGCGCACCTTCGCGCGCGTTATCTTCTCACGCCTGTTAGCGCCCGCCTAGCTCATAGAGTTTCCCTCCACTTTATTTCGAGGAACTTCTCTCAGTGGTTGTCCCTTGGGTCGAGTCGTTGTCTCATATCCCGGTCTTGCTGTTGAGCACCCTTTTGTTTTAAGTGTTTTCACGTCTAGTCAAGATTCCTCATCTACAGCGGGAAAGATCCGGATGAACTTCCGGAAACTTGAAGGATCAGATCGGATGAGTGAGGAGCGGAGGAGCAGAGCTCTGGCCTAGGGAATTCCTCCCTAGGCTCGAGATGGATATTAACTAAGTCAGAGGACTAGAACTGATATGAGGACTTAGTGTGAGATCTAGTGCAAGGACTAATATGATATTCAGACTGAGGAACCACAGGACATATACAAGAGTTTATATACTAAGTGACTATTGGAAAGATCAATAAGCAAAGGTCCGAGGCTATGTACGAAGCATAAGTAAAGTTATTAAACATGAGTCGGAAATGAAGCATAGGTTAATGGATCAGTAAGTATATCGGTAGTAAGTATAACTGAGGTACCGGAAACAAGGAATACCAGATAGGCTGTGTTAATGTTATATGCACAGGAAATAATTTGAGAAGCTTATTGTATATCAGATTGGAAGCATATCTATACATCAGATCAGATCGGATATGGTCCGGACGAGATGCATGGATATATGGGACATGGCATTAGGGTGATGAGACAAAGGATGAATGATGCAGGCTAGCTGCAGAGGTATGGAGGTCCGATGTATAGAGATACAGGGGTCCAGAGGTCCAGATGAGGTGTGAGAACATTGTCGGATGTAGGTCCAGAATACGGGATATGATAATGTGACACTCTTGGAATGTTTCAGGAACTTTGCTATGACTATAATATATATTATGACATCATAGTTATATATGGAATCTTACAATACCTTTAATTATTCTGATTAGTTAGTTAGTCCATACTCTGTTTTAATCTCTGTCTTAATATATGTATATAGGAAGTCCAATTGTAATTCTTTAGTTCAAACCTCTCATCTGTGTCTTACTGGTATCAGCTCAGATGTACCTGCTTAATCTTATTTTTTTGGTTTATCTTGTTCTTAAAGTCCTGGTCTCTATCTAGCATTAATTTGTTAGTGGGTTGTGATAGATGGTCTACCTATGTGGCACTTAGTCAGACCATATAACAGGCCTAGCTTATCTTGAGGCATTCTGATTAGTATAATCTGCAGGATACAATAATACTTATTTTTTATCTTGTTTGACCTAACACATAATTAGAAAACTCTCAATTAAGCAGTTATACCCTCTACCCATTAGCTTTTCTTGATCCTATCCTAGGAGTCTCCAAATATGTTTTGGTCAAAAGTCTAGTTAGACTTTACCCAAATGCTATATCAATTGTTATCTTTAGTCACTGTTATTACTAAAATTTATTTATTAATCAATCTTTCATTTACTTCATAAAACAAGACACAAACTAGAGCTACAACTAATTCAGCATGTGCACCTTACACTTACTAATCACTAGACCTTATACTCTATTATAATTTTTTTGTACATCTCTTAATCTTCTTTTGCTCCAGAGAATTTATGTTGTCTGGGCACAGAGACCATAGAGGATAAAGGATGGAGTTCAAAAGGATTTGAACAGTGGAGAAAGGGCCTTAGGAACTTAGATATCTGGTGTCAGTAAAACAAATAAATAAGTCAAAAGAAAAGTTCAAGGTTTTTGGAATAAGTATAACTAGTATTAAGATTCTAAACCCTGAACTTTACAAAGTTGTCTTTCCAAGCCAAAATGTAGGTCAGTTTTGTACTGAAGATAAGCAGGGACAGAAGTTCTGTCCAGGGAGTATAAACAATATAGCATATAATGAAAATGTCTCCAACACCTAGTATTTTGTTGTGACCTGGAATAATATAGTGATCACACTTTCATAAGTTATGATATATAAAGATATATGATGTCCTAAGGAGAAGAGAAGCAGCTAGGCAAATCTCTGCAACCCCACCATAGGTAGATTATAAAAATGAAACTGTTGAAGAATACATAACAAGTAATCAATGACCAGGTACAATTGACATTGGCTTCTTATTGAATCCAGCAGGTCAGTATACCACTAGAGAACTAGCACTAACCTAATAAGGATCTGAATAGACATACAATATGTGAATATGCACAAAGCCTAATGTATTTAGGTCTATGCTAAGAAGATAATATGATGCTATGCTCTCTAATGCCTAAGAAAAGAGAAGAAACCAATAAGTTATTTTAGTAGATGGGTGATTTTTAATATATCAAGAGTTTTGAAGAAAGTATTCTTAATATTGCACCTTGGCATAATGCAAGTAACAAGAATAAGAAGAAAGAAAATAAGAAATTGATTTAACAACATACATGGACCTTATTTGTATCATGTTAAGACCATGCACAAAGGGTAGGACTGATTCTGAGGGGCTTGGCTTCAGCTCATGTGCTGCGCCCCTTATCTGAGTATGTGCCCTTAATTTCAGATTGGTGTCCGAAGAAAGTCCGAAGACATCTGAAGGATGTCTGAAGGCACAGGAAACTTTGGAAGGACTTTCTGGACGGGTGCAAGTAACTTCCGGATGAGTGTGGGAAAGTTCCAGAGGAACTTCCAGAAGTTACGATGAGGTTTCGTCCTGATACAAATATATATAATGGCTACTTGGGACTTGTCCTGAGTAGAAGTAAACAGAGGAAAGGCTGCAAGGACAAAGTCTGAAGCAGAATAGGTCCAGAGGACCACGGGAAAGATCCGGATGAACTTCCGGAAACTATGGAGGATCGGATGAGCAGATGAGTGGAGTATCGGATAAGTAGAGCTCCAGCCTAGGGAGAAACTCCCTAGGCCTGAGATGGATAACAACTAAGTTGGAAGACTAGAACTGATATGAGGACTTAGAACCTCCACATTTCAGACTTTCTGTAGTTCTTAATATTATTTTTCAAAATCCAAAACCCCAAAATATTTGACCTGCCATTTTCAGTATCAGACATTGTTCCTCACCCTTGGACCAGCATATATAAGTCTAGCAGACTAGGCAGAGCATAGTAAACCATATAGTAAGATTGAACACTGATTTTATTTGTGCCCAATCTGTTGTTTACATATTATATTGGTTCAAGTTCAAATTCCAAAAACCAAATCTTCTAAACTGTTTGCAAGACTCTACTGAGTTTGACTATTTTATTGAATTAGACTATGGTCTGATTCTTAGATATCATGGTTGTAACACCCTCTGAACCAAACTGCAGCAGCACTACAGAGTAGTAGCATCCAAGTCTATAATGTTTTTATTATCATTATTTCCTTGCTCAAACATTGATATATGACATAAATTAGTTGTGTTAGAAAAATGCCAAGTATAATGTCAGGTCTGGCACAATTTGGCATAATCTGACAATCTGGCCAGGGCCTATGAAGGTTGTGCATGGGGGAATCAGGTCATGCCAGGAATCATTAGGCATAGTAGTAGGTGGCTAAAGTACAGCATATCAATGTTAATTTCCCACTGTAAAGAGTGAATTCTGGCTGGGCACTTCAAAAGTGATCACACAAGAACTCAGGGGTGTGAGTGTGATATGTCCCAAGAGACTGCCTGTAGAACTACCTCTAGAAATATAAGTGCAAGGGAAATCTAATAAGATAAAGAATGAGAGTTATGAAAAATCTAAAAGTGTGTCTGAAGTTCCAAGGATACTGTAGAGTTATGACTGTAGCTTCATGCCCTTTTGGGTGTAACCATGTCACACTTAGCTTCACAGCTTCGTACACCCTTGTAACATGTGACCTATCCAAGTTAGCTTCGCCCCGACTGACTTGGGTTTGCAACCTGACTCGGTGTGACAATCTTCTCTCTTCCTTTTGGTGGTGACATGGACCAAAAGATCCTCACATTGTTGCCTTGGGCCCTTTGCTATGGGCACATTTAGAATGTATAAAAGGATGATCAGCTGCATTCCATGTGAGTTTGTCCTTCTCTTGGCATGTCTATCACCTTTGACCCTTCAGAATGGCTCTCGTGTGGTCGTTTGTTTCCCCAGGCATGTCCCCCAAAAATAATTCAACACGAGATCAAACATCTTCAATCCATGCCACTGTGGATCAGCGTCTCCATTCCCTCCCAGATCTCTCCATGGATACATTGCTCAACCTTCCCATCAACCTTGCATTCAATGACATTGATAGGGAGAGGACAGCACAGATGCATAGCCAATACCCTATATAATGATTTTTGGTTGCACTGCTAACTTGTCTGTAGCAATTTTTGGTTTTTTTATTGATGATTTTTCCTGTTTTACCGCTTGTTACAAAATAGCTTTGCTCCCCAAAATTTAGTGTGACCATCACATCAAATAGGTTTGATTCACTGTGGGGTGGGACGTGTGATGAAGTTACGGTCGTAACTCTACAGTATGTCCAAAGTACTGAAGTACTTGTCTGATGCAAGTGAAAGTAGTCCAAGGTTAAGAAATGAAGGTCCAAAGGTCCACAGAGGTTCTGATGACTTACAACACAATAATGAGAGTTCCAAGAGTGTGTGGCAGGTTTGTTGAAGTATGTTGAAGCATTGAAGTGACTATAAGACTAGCAAGAGTATCAAGATACAACTATGCAAAGCCTACCAAAGAATCAAAGATGGCAAGATGTCAAATGACATCAGTAAAGCCAAACAATTATTCAGAATGAATAAGAGATTTACTGTGCAAAGTTTAACTATCTGAGAGTGACTCTGCTAACTATGATTCATAGCAAGGGAAGTGAAGCGAGGAACAAGTTGGCTAGTGAGTGAGATTTTATCCTACAATGTAAAAGTCCAGAATGCATAGGCAAGAGCAGGAGCGAGATAAACAAGTCTGGACCTATGTAATGAGATGCAAGGTGAACTGCTAAGCAGATAAGCTTGTAATAAGACATGAGACATGCTGCTATACATATTATTCAAATAATCATGGTTTCTGATGAGCCACCAATGAGAATATCTGCAGTAATCCCTATGACATATTCAATACTTGACAGATAGGATGAAAACACACTAGCAAAGTTAAATAGTGTAGCACTCAAGCCCATGCTAGGCTTGTATCTAGCTATTTCATAATATATGTCAAAATATCTATTGCACACTAATCACTTCTCAATGTTATCCAACACTTACCCACTCAACCACAACTCTCCCATGCTAAGTGCAAAGCACATGCTACCTTCCCACACATTGGCCACCTCAAGTGCCACATTCTCATTGTAGCACTCGAGCTCATGCTAGGCTCATATTTAGCTATTTCATGCATCACATCAAATGTCCATCGCACAATATCCACTTCCCGATGCAACCCAATGCATATTTGCCAAACTCGATACTTTGACTAGTGGACCCAATGCTTTTCCTGTGCACTTGTCCTATCCGTGTCTCACCTTGTCTGCTAGGGCCACTAGGTGCATATTTGATTATGTTGCACATTACTCATGTTGTAGCCAGCACTATTACATGTTTTCCCATAGTCTGCAGTGCCTCGTGTTTATTTACATGTACATCGGACCCAAAATTCTTCAGCCACTACTTTTGCCTATAGGGTTCCAGATTTCTACTTACTTATATATATTGGTTTCCACATAGCATATTGAGCATCCAAGTAGTAGGGAGCTGTTTCCTGACGCTTTGTGGTCAAACCTGATATTTTGTAGTTCTTAGTTGATATTGTGAAATATTACCACTCTTTCTATCCGAAATACCTGTCATTATCGATAACCCGCTGTAACACTCGGGTTGGTGTTGGGCACATATCCCGTCGAAAACACATCTTACATTCCTCAACACACTTCCGATCTTCCGAAGGTTGTGCACGCTTGTCCAAGTCGTCCAAAGGTCGTCCATTCATCTCCAAGGCCTTTTCTAGCTTTTCCAGTCTTCCATACCATGTCCTGTCCTTGTCTGTTTGACTTTGCTGGTGCGTTTTTCAGTTAGTTATCTGTTATTGATTATGTCTAGGAGCCCATATATCAAAAATCCTTGCTAATATGTATAGATATGCACCTCATGTGTTATTACATGTATATCTTTGTAGCAGCTCGCATTGAGTCTTATTACATTTTGGATGTCTTATCTCGCTACAGTTTTCGCCTATGCATACTCCAGACTTTCACACAGTAGGATATATTCTGGCTCGCTAATACTTGCAACTCACTTCACTTCCCTTGCTATGAGCCATAGTTAGTAGATGTCACAAATTTCCTAGAGCCATTGCAATGGTCATGAGGATATCGTTCCCACAGTATCACGTGCTGTGACAATCCATTATGATGCTTGATAATCGTTGTCATGTCTGATTTCATATTGAAATAACATTCCCACACTTCATGTGCCATTTCAACTGATTGGAATGTTGATAACACTTACACTGTTCATACTGTTTATCTTGTTCATATCGACATCAAATTGCTGTATTCTTATCCGAAGACTATATACACCTTCAAATGCCACCTGAGCGGACCTCAACCTGCAATATATGTGGTCAGACATTCAAGAGTCAAGGGCTTGCTGTCCACCAGAAGGCCTGCAGGAGGGATGCTATGTGGCTGCAGGAAGACCGGGAGAGGCAAAATGCTCGAGCGGGTGAGTCAATTCTTTGTTTATGTGGTGCACATTGAGTATATTAAGTCCTCTTGACAGCTCAAGCCCAGCCTGAATGACTAGATACTCAACATTGGCCAGCTTCTGTGCCATCTCAATGACCAGGCACATCCCTGGCACAAGGTTTGATTCCACTTAATGTCTGTTTGTTTTATTGAATTAATAGGCTCACATCCAGCTCCCATCACTCACAAACCTGCGTACAATGAGTATGTAAGGCCTGACAAAGGTATGTTATTATTTCTTTTATCAATACATCTAGATTTCTGAATCAGATCACATCATTTAGGTTTATTGTTCATGCTACAGCAAGAGACTCCTGAAAATGAGTGTGTCCTGCCACCTATGTTCCAGCTGGACGATATCAAGACTGAATATCATCTGCGCAGTGGCATTATCACAAAAATTGATCACTTTGCTGATTTCTGCTGCCACACCGCCACTTGCTCACAAGTACCCGAAAATCTCACACCTTGGGAACCCTTTTCGTCACACATCGACTTTGACTTTGTGGAACTGGTCCTGAAAGCAAACCTTACTAAAGTACAGACCAATGAGCTTATTAGTCTCATCTGTCGCACTGCATTTGAACAATTCTCAGTCACTGACTACAATGGTGTTTGTACGATGTGGGATGCAGCATTCCCTCATCATGCAAAAGTAAGTCTGAATCCAATGACCTGCTACACCTCACTTACAATCAATTTTTAAGTACAGTTCAAAAAGGAAGTGATTTCGGTCTCACATAGGGACCAGGACCATACATTTGATGTTTGGTATAGGCTGCTCTGGGACTGGGCTTGTGATTTGTTGAAAGACCATCGCCTTGGTCTGCACTTTGTATTTGATGCCCAATGCCTGTACAAATATGATGGACAAGATTTCATGCATTTTTTTGACGATCTGTGTACTGACAATGCTTTGTGGGATAGTCAAGTATGTGTCTGTTACTGTTTTTAATGTTCTGATAATGTAAATGGTGCACTTTATAGTCATCTTTGCTGAAGGATGAAGGAAAACCCTTTGCATTTATCATATATGCTGACAAGGTGAAACTCTCATCATTCAGTCGTCAAAAGGCATATCCTGTCATTGCGCGATGCGCAAACCTACCTGTTGGAATACGCAATGGTGAAGGGTTTGGTGGTGGCCGACTTGTTGGTTGGCTTCCAATCATATGTCACTATTCAATTCAGAATGAACTTTGATGCCTCAAGCTGACTCTTGCAGGTCGAAGAAGATAGGAAATATTCCGGAACCCAGTCCTTTGTCAATTTCAAAAATGTTGTCTGGCATGAATCATTTAAGTGTCTTCTCAAATAACTTGCACTGCTTTCAAAAACAGGCTTTTGGGTCAAGTGTTGGGATGGCATTGAACATCTTTTTTACCCACTTATTCTCATCCTATCAGCTGACTACAAGGAACAGTATGTATATCACTTTTATTATTATAGGTTTCTAACAGCTGTTCTACAGATGTGTCATGGCCTTGATACACAGAAAAAATTGCAAGTGCCCTTGTCCCATCTGTCTTGTTCCTAAAGACGAACTTGGCAATGTCCTCACACCATATCCATTTCGAACGAGCACAGCTGTGCAAGCCACACTTCTGGAGGCACAAAGTCAGGCTTAAAAAGAAGACAAGAAGAAAATATTAGTGCCGCAAGGTCTCTGGGACGTCGACATAAGTTCCCTATTACTGTGTCTTTACTCCCATCTCTAATTATTCATTTAAGAATTCATTTTCAGATATTGCTCACACAGATGTCCATTCCACGGTCTCATTTGACTGCTTGCACATAAATAATGAAGGCAATTTCTCTGATCATCTTTGGACCCAGTTTCAAGAACACATCAAATCAGTAAACCAGCAGGCACTGGCCAAAATTGATGAACAGTACATTTTTTATCTTTGTGTATAGCAGATATAGTAACTTTACTACTTGAATAGCTTTGACTTGATGCCACATTGGCGAAAACTCAACCACTTCAACCACGTCATGGATATATCTTTTTCTGATGGCTCAAAGTACGAAGATATTTTGAAGGTAAGCCAGTTTTGTTGATTCTGAATTGTACTACTGATATTTCTGTAGATCGTTGTATTTGCGGCCCATGATGTCATCGACTGAACCTCTGAATCTCATGAGCTCCCTTATCTGCTCCTTTGTTGCATCCATGAATATGTCAATGTCAACATGTATGCAGCTCTCAAAGTACATACATCCAAAACGATTGCCGCAGGCCATCAAGCTGTGAGAGAGTTTACACAACTGTTGGATGTGAGTCACTCATTGTGCCATCGTTCAAGTTTCACTTATGGTCTGGATTGTATAGCAATATAGTGAGAAAGACAACTTGGGGAAGAACTGGGCTTACCCAAAAAGACATGTGCATGCTCATTTGTTTGATGATATTGAGGCAAGAGGTGCCACACGCAACATGAATACCAAACCGAATGAGAAGTGTCATGGCCCAATCCGACAAACTTATCTTTGGTGCATGAACTTTAAAAACATTGCTGAACAGGTGCATGCTCTCATTTTTTTGTGAAGTCTGACAGTTTTTCATTTGGTCCTATACAGGTACTTCACCTTGACCATTGATTCCTCATCACACATTCAATCTGTTTGGATATCGAAGATCATGATGAAATTGTTGCATCTCAGAAGAACTGTTTACTTTCAGGCAGAGAGGATAATGAAGATGACCTTGATGGTGATCCTGACGATATGTTCCATGTTAAGTTGGGTGCAGCACAAAATGAGCAGACATTTGAAGACTTGGAGCAGCTGCATGCAAATGACAATGCATTCAAGTGGTTCCATATCAAACTTGCAGACTTTCTCAGTGATTCTCTCCCCACCCATGGAATACCACTACCTAATGCAAAAAGAATTAAGTTCACATCAAATGAAACTGTATGTTGTTCCATTTTCTGCTTTGTGTCTCAAGTAACAGAATGAAGGTGACCAAGCATCAGTTCTTGAAAGTCAACTTTGAATCTATCATAGACTGGCAAATCACCACTGATTATCTTCGATGCAGCCCTTCATTTCACAACTTTGCTCGATATGACTGTGTTATCCTTCAAACTCAAGCCGGACCTATGTTTGGGCATTTACTGATGCTCTTCACCTGTATTGTGGATGGTCAAACTCATCCAATCGCTCTTGTTCACCCTTATAATGCTCCAGTTGGGCAGCGCTCTCTCAAAGACAAACATCTTCAATTCTGGCATGTTTGCGAAAGGCCAAGGATCTCATCTGAATTTTTTTCAGTTCGCTCAATCATCCGTGGTGCAGCACTAACAGAAGATCACAATGTCCCAGGTGACTACCTGGTCATTGATACCATTGATACTGACATGTTCTTGCGCATGAAGTTGATGCATGGGTCTGCCGGTCGTCTAGCATGAAGAACCAGCCTTCTTGCCTCCCTCCCAGCTTTCAAATATGCCTGCAGAGCTGCTGGTGTCATTCAAACTAGCGTTGGAACTTGCATTTTCAATGCTCTCATTCGTTCTCCACATTTTACTTGTTCGACTCTCGATCCTTATCTCTCAGTCCTCACCTTTTACTTGTTCAACTCTCAATCCTTATCTCTCAGTCATGCTTACCCTCACTCGTTCAACTCTCAATCCTTATCTCTCAGTCATCCTCACATTTTACTCATTCGACTCTCAATCCTTATCTCTCAGTCATCCTCACCTCTTGCTCGTTCAACTCTCAATCCTTATCTCTCAGTCATGCTCACCTCTTGCTCATTCAACTCTCAATCCTTATCTCTTAGTCATACTCAACATTTGTGCATTTGACTTTCAATCCTTATCTCTCAGTCACACTCACCTTCTTGACTACCAAAACCAGCTCCACAACTTTCTCTTTTACTAACTCATCAACAGGCAAAGGCTAGTTCGCCTTGGATCCATGCAGCAGTAATAATGACTCACTCAGTTATGCCATGTAAGTGCACTGCAAGTTATTTTATCTGTTATCTTTGGATTGACTCATTCTATCCAGGATCTAATAACCTTGTCCTCAACATGAGGCAAGGTCCTGTTTCTTATTTTAAGCGCCTCAAGTCACAACCTTTCTCTTACCCTTCTGCTCTTTGAGCTTCTCTTACCTTTCTGTTCATTCTCAGAGTTACTTTCGCCATGCCACAATTAAATATGCTATCTATGACTGATCTTGAACAGGTCTGTTTTCACCCTCTGATCATTGCTTAAGTCTTCTAATGTTTGCTTCAGGCATTGTGAGAGATGCAACTCGAGTTACAAGAACTGAAGGACATCAACAAGGAATTGACTGAGGAGAACAAGATCCTTAAAGCCAACCAGCTGAAGAGGAAGAAGAAGGGTCAAAACACCTTGGAAGAAAACATGGCATTCAATGAAGAGATCCGCTTATGTGGTTGCAAATATGGCACCTGTTACAAGATGTTTGCACCAGATAGGCAACTCCTTCTGCACAGCAATCCAATGTTCGCTCCACCTCTCAATGAACCATCACACTATGAAACATCAGCCTCAGTGGAGTTAGAACTACTTTCTGAGCTATACAGTCTACTTCCATCACATATCCACCCTCTTGTGGCAGATAATCACTTCACTGATGTTGTGAGTGACATTTTTTTGCTTTAGTAAGTCTCCGAGCTGATAGTACTCAAGTTTGAGGATGCGATGAACAGTAGCTGCGCATCTAAAATCAAGAAACTATGCTCCAAAGCTGGAGTTATCTTCGGTCTTCCTGAACAATATTTTACTGATACTACGTACAATCAAGCAAGTGTTCCCGAGATCCAGAAACTTCTTGGTATCTCAGTATCGCAGCGTACTCCAAAGCCCTTCCCACCTATCCTTTTTCCCAACCTGGTCGAAGATGCATCACTCAAAACGATCTTCAGAAACTGGGAAGTCTTCGGAAAGGTGCGTTGAGTCTGAATATAAAACTTGACCTTATTTAATGTGCTTTCAGATCATCTGTATAGTACTATGGGGTGAAACTGGCTTGACTGCGCTACGAGCAGGAGGACCTCTGCCCAATGGTAATAAGGGGAAATAACTTCCTTGACACCTGGTTTATTGGCATGGGCAGCAGTTATTGTAAATTTTGCACATATCGAAAGAGTCCATCCATTGATGCAATTTTGTCAGGTTATATTTCTACTTAGTGACGACAAAGAGTTTCACTATTCCGGCAAGGGGGAGACCACAAAGATCCAATATAGCTACATGTTCTCTTCATACAAGAAGATTATTATCAAGAACTGGACTACAGAATACACGCATGACATTGTGAAGGCACTCAATAGTTTTATTTTCACCAAAGGTTCGAGAATGGTTGATTCGATGTCAGACAAGGAGGACTTTACAGCAGCAATGGATTGTGCCTTGGCAGGTATAACTGAAGGTGAGGAGAACACTGGTACAGGATACAATGGATGAAACAGTTGCTGATGATGAGTGTAGCAGAGACAGATCTAGAGCTAACAGCCCTCTTACAGAACCTGATGATGAAGTTGTTACTAATGTTGCACCTAGACATGTCAGGGGTCGCTGAAGGGGCAGGGGAACCCAGTGTACTGTATCGGGTACCACTCGCACCACCTGCAACACTGGTACTTAGTACTTACCTACATGTACAATCTCTTTACTACAAGCTTTGCGAGATTTCAATGCATTGATATTATGGTCCTTAATAAGGCTATAGAGTGGTCCTTCCATAGAGTTCAGGTTTCCCTATAAGAAAAGCCTTGTATTCTACCGGTTTTGCTTCCTGATGATATATAGTAGTATAATAGGGTAGTTGCCAGTTTGAATCAACCTATGTGCAAGTAAAATAGTGTAATAATGTAATAGATAGATAATGTAATATGATTAGATAGTAACGATTAGATAGTAATAAATATGAAAAGAAACACTAGATAACAATAGACAGTAGATAATAATAAACAGCCAATAATGATAGATTCACATAGTCATGATATCATTCCCATGAACCGTAGCTTCATTTTAATGCAATTGCAATAACATAAAATTTAATATTACAATGGAAATTACAATAGGCATTGGCAGCAATTGGCGCCACATTGCCACCAGCATTACCATCGGCACCTGTCAGCATTTCAAAATGGGGCTTACATTGCATTCCCATTGCCACGGTCATGTTGTCATTGTGGCATTACAATGCATTACAATGCATTAAAATGAGACTCAGAAATTTCTGACAGAGTCACTTTCGGATTTTAGTACCTCACAATCAATCTTTGTTCATTCGGAACAATTGTTGGCCTAACCACTGCCATTTTACTATTGATTTCCTTAAGTTTTTGGACAGACTTTGCTAGTCATACTACACAGAGGTTCTATACTTCGACAAACTGCCATATTCTATACCAGAAACCTTGTTGTTTCATCGGAAGCTCGCCAGAAGCTTCACACAACCTTGGACCTTCATTTCTTGACATCGGACCTCGACCAGACCCTTCGGACAACTTATCGGACACTTCAGGGAATTCTTCGGAACTCTGAACATACTTGAGGTATCCTGTCCTTCTCTCTCCTTCGATCTTAATTAGATATCCCTTGCATTTATATCAAGAGATAATCCTACAGGCAGTCTCTTGGAACAAACATCTCACTCACACTTTGAGTCTTGAAGTAACACCTTTTGAATAGCCCACCAGGGATCAACTCTTTACACCACATATCACTCACTTTCCCGACATTCACTATCACTGTTCTCCGTAATCTGCAAACCCAAAACCTGAAAACATTGGCCAATACTTTGGCATCGGACACGTAATTATACCTTCAGATTCTGTTTCTCGCACTTGGACTTTTGACAGTTTATCAATTGACAAACTACAAACTTATTCCAATAGCAAACCCCTCAGGTCAAACACACTTGTCTAGCAAGTATAGCAGACTAGGCTGTGCAAGACCATTACAACATTTTTTTATATTGCTGGATACTTACTTCATATAGTATCAAGCATAGTTGTATCTTTACATCATGCATGTGCCAGGCATGCTTTTCTTGCACTCAAAGCACCCTACATCACACATCCACCAATTGTCCAAACTAACCTCACTGGTACATTTTCATGTCATTTTCTTCATATCAGACCATATTATACTTTAATGATTGCACAATTCTCATGTTATGGACCCTTATTACATACTTTACCTACTTGCTTCACAAGTGCTTCAGCTCCACTTCAGAGGCACATTGTTAGACATATATAAGTGCCTGTAGTTGATATTTACATGATCAAATCATAGAGAAGCTCCCTGCACCACACTATCAGTGTACAGCTCATCCATCCCGAGCCATAGTCTGTAGCTACTGGCAATAAGATCATCATATTAACGTCTATTACAAATCTCTAGATCCTTGTTGCACTTGCTTCTCCTGAGGGTCAAATGCACTTGTCACTATAAGTATAGTGGCTTAGGCAAATAAAACCCAACACATTGTTTAGTATATACCATCTGAATTGTACCCACACTGACATTCACTATTCCCAACATTCTCTACCTTGCCAACATATTCCAACACAACCCAATGCCTAACCCAACCCAAAAGTATTGTACCTGATGTTTTTGTCTTCAGACTATCTTTCTTTCATATAACTAAGTATTTTACTTTACTAACTAGCAACCTCTTGGGTTGAACGCACTTGTCTTACAAGTATAGCAGACTAGGCTGTGCAAGGTTGCATTAGTTCTTTCAGTTCTGCATCCACTCCCTTTGCATTTTACTCAAAGGAAGTGCTTTATAGCAATCCTCTCAGGTCGGTGTAGGTATACAACTTTTGCTGGACACTACACAAAGTAAGTGTCTAGCAAAATATGAGTGTTGGTCTTGCACAACCTAGTCTGCTATACTTGTGAGACAAGTGCATTCAATCCAAGAGGTTGCTAGTTGGTAAAGTAAAATAGTTAGTTATATAAAGGTAAAGATAGTCCAAAGACAAAAATGTTGGGTCTGATGTTATCAGGTTAGTGGGTTTCATTGGTGTAGAGATACAACAATTGCTGGACACTACACAAAGTAAGTAACCAGCAATATGAAAAATGTTGTGGTCTTGCACAGCCTAGTCTGCTATACTTGCAAGACAAGTGTGTTCGACCCGAGGGGTTAGCTATTGGAATAAGTCTGTAGTTAGTCAATCAATAAACAGTCAAAAGTCTAAGTACAAGAAACAATGTCCAAAGGTATAATTACAATGTCCAATGCCAAAGTGTCAGGTTCAATGTTTTTGAGTTAGTGGGTTAGTGGGTTTCAGGTTCGGATTTAGTGGGTTATGAGGAATAGTATAGTGAACATTGGGAAAGTGAGTGGTATGTGGATTATTAATAATGACAAGTATTTTGGATAGAAAAAGTGGTAATATTTTGCAATATCAACTAAGGACTATGAAATATCAGGTTTACCACAAAGCATCAGGAAACAGCTCCCTCCTACTTGGATCATGAATGTGCTATATGGAGTCCAATATATAATTATGTAGAAATCTGGAAACCTATAGGCGAAAGTAGTGGCTGAATATTTTGGGTCCAATGTACATGTAATAGTGCTGGCTACAATGTGAGTAATGTGCAAATCATAATCAACTATGCACCTAATGGGGCTAGCAAGACAAGATGGGACATGGAGAGGACAAGTGCACAGGAAAATATCAGGTCCAATGCAGCTGAAATGTTGGGTCTGCTAGTCAAAGCATCAGGTTATGTCGAATTACATTAGGAAGTGATTATTGTGCAATGAGCATTTGATGTGATGCATGAAATAGCTGAATGCAAGCCTAGTGTGAGCTTGAGTGCTACATCAGGTTGTATTGGGCTGTGTCAGGTTAGGAAAGGAATGTTGGGAATAGCAAATGTTGAGTTACTGTCAATGTTTTCAGATAAGGACAGGATGATATTGTGGAATTCAACTAAGAACTACTAATATCAGATGACCTCCTCCTACTCAGAGGTAGAAAGGTAAGTAGGAGGTATGCAAAATATATAGTGTCTATGTAGAATTTCGGAGTGCTATAGGTGAAAGTAGTAGTGGTAATTTTCAGGTCCAATGTCCTATATAATAAGATATGTGGTACTGCAGACATGTAATAACACAGTCTACAATGTTAGCGACGTGAAAACAGATAACTGTGCACCTACTAGGGATAGATATGACAGGACATGACATACAGAGGACAAGTGCACAGGCAAATATCAGATCCAATGTGGCATAAACATCGGGTTACATCAGGTTAGCATTGGGTTAGCAGATGAACATTGGACTGAGTGGGTAAGTATCAGATAACATTGGGAAGTGATTCATGTGTGATATGTATTAGAAAATAGCAGAATACAAGCCCAACATGAGCTCAAGTGCTACATTAGTGTGAAGAAGTAATAGTGGCTGGCCAGCAAGAAAGCTAGAACACTAATAAAATCTTACTGAGTGCAGGTGTGCTATCAATCCAAGAGAATTGCTATGAAGCACTTCCTTCAAGTATAATGTGAAGGAAGCAAATGCAGTATCTTACTAGGATGTTATTGGCAATAAAAATCACCAGTTCTCACTATCCTCCACAATCAACAGTTCAGACAAATACCAATGGTTGATAATGTGGTCATTCATAGGAGGAGGTGTAAAAGTTGGGTTTGTCAAAACAAGCAAATTCCTGATGACTTTGAAAGGGGTGAGATCAGGGTAAATCTCAGGAACAGTAACTGTTAACTGGCTTGATGCAGTACTTAGGACATAGATGACAAGGATCGATAGATAATGGTAAGTTACCTAGCTCAACTACCTCCCGACAGGTCACATGACACCGCATGGAAACATGTAACAATGACCACCACTGACTTGATCTGTTATCCTAGAAGAGATAATGCATGTTTTATTGATGTTCTACTATGTAATAATACAATTATGTACTTTTATCACTGGCAGTTGATAGTGGCCAGGTGCAATAGAACATTGCATTCAATGTTTCCCTTTCTCATGTTGTTGGACTCCACTGCCTTGATGAATTCTCTTGTCTCTCTCTATCAAGGCAATTCTCCATCAAGCGGATGAATGATGCACCCTCACGCTTAATGGCATTGAGCATCCTGTGATCATTGAACTGGATTTGATACTGGAGACCATCACAAAATTCATGGAGGTTTTTGATGTGTGCCTCGAAGCATTCTTGAAAGGTACATGTATCCATCTGTCCAGCCACTATATCCACAAACTCATCTTCTGCTTCTTCATCTTGTCTATCAGACATGTTCCCTCCTACTTTGAGTGCATTCCCATGGGTACCCTCCGCTCTTGCTGAGTATTGCCCAGTCTGCCCTGGTGCTGTGGAATTAGGAGGAAGGCTGTCGTTCAATGGAACAAGTGATGGGTGTGACCAGAAAGGTAGTGTTTGGTTACATTGAACTTCCAAGAAAAAAACTGGGCTAACTGTGTGCATGTCTTGCACTAGATGTTTGCAGACAAGGAACCAGCTCTTGACAAAGTGTGGGCAGGTGCACACCCACTTGCTGATATCAGGGCGGTATTTTGCATTCATTGGTGTTGTTATTGGTGTTTTGAGTGCTCGTCACCATTTACTTTTGAATGATTTGCGCCATAACAACAATTCCCAATAACGGCCAGTGTCGTGGAGTAAGTGATCTAATTTTTTGAAGTATGATGGTGAAAGTTTGGCAACTAAAATCCATGACAGAAGATCAATATGAGGCTTCAAAAAATGGTACAAATAGTCAACCTTGATTTGACGCCAGCTATAATCCAGATGTGAGTGCATGTTTTGTACTTATTTAATGATTACTCACTGGCTTTCCATTATCATAGTTGTCTTTAGACTTGGTACTTTGATTGATGCAGCTGCTTGTGCCCAAAGCTCCCACTGGCCACATTGATACCAATTTTCCCATAGGTAGGCCCAAACCTTGCAAAGATCGTTTTCTTTGCAAAACGTATAGATCTGTCTGACTGCCCATTGACGGATGCCAGCAGTGCTTGGATGTGAGTAGCCTGGGATTAGTGGATGGGCACAGAAGTGATGCTCAATCAGCACAATCACTGATTCATGGAGCTGGATGGCACAGTATCATCCTCAGTATAGACTTCATCAGGTTTAAGAAGGACACCACCCTCAAACTTCCTAATATCCGGAGTACCTGCAGGCCTAAATAAGATGTCAATGAACGGAAACTCCTGGTTCGCATGAGCAGGCTTGTATGGAGTTGTTGACAATTTTGATTTTGCTAATCATTCTTGGATGGCTTTTCACAGGTGCCACCAGCAAAGCTGGATCTTTGCTTTCGGCCATACAGATTTGGACATGCTGATTTCAGCCATATCTTTATCAACATGAAAAAATCATGGTATGATGCCATATTTGTCTTGAAGGCAAGTTGTCCATTGTCACAGTGCTGTCGTCCGCTTCCCAATTTCAATTGCAGTTGCAGTCAAAAGCAAGCAATATGATAATGGAAAGCCGGCATTATCAAATTCACCAAGGACACTGTATAGTTCTAAGTGTTTAGAATTTGTGTTGTCTGACAACTGATGTGAGCCAGTCAATATAGCTAACCAGAAAACCATTACTCACATGTCGCATCAAGGCCGATCTCGACTACCTTCCCTTCAAGCTACCAGATTATTTTTCTCATCCCCCAACACAGCTGCTCCACATCATCTGCCAATTCAATGTCAAAGACATCAATATCTCGATCAAATTCACCCAATAGCATCTTTGCTGATGTAAGCTGATCTGAATCTTTCTTCCAGAGTATTTCACTCATTCTCATCCATGCAGAATGCACCTGTGATGCCGCGATATGGGGATAGAGTGCCTGGATCTTCAGGGCCAATGCACTTGGACTGCTCCACTCAAGCTGGTTGCGGATGATCTGGGTCACTTCCACTGGCATGGCTACATCATAGTAAGGCACATGTGCATCATTATGTTTCATCCTGATTGATAATGTCTGCTTGTTGATCTGATTACCCACTCTTTGGCAGCAAGATATGGTAAGAACACTCTGACAGGGGAAGCACTTCATTCCAATTGTGTCACGGTGTTTGACACCTTCCTTCTGACTTGGTCGAGATTTCTGTTTCTTGTCCTCATCTTGACAGCACCATGATATTGTTTTGTGTCCTGTCTTGAGGGGGTAGTTATGTTGCACCCTAAAAATGTCATGATAAGCATCAATTCTGGGAACCATATTTGACTTACCTGAAATGATACCCAGTTGTTCTCCAGACCTCTAGTGCGGCCATTTCAACTCTTTCCTTTTCACTTGTTATTGGATCCTTGAGTACAAGGTAACTTCCATAAAATTGGACATCACTTGAGTTTTTAAATGAGGTCCTCAGTGCTGTGAATAGATACTGAGCATTCTCGTACTTTAATAATAAGTAAGTACCCTTTTCCTTGAATGCATCTCAAATACTGACTAGAGTGCATTCATCATTAGACTCTGTATCTGCTACTCGACTTGTACCTTTATCTATATTGCATGTAGGAGGAGATGGAACAGGTCGAGGAGCATCTTGTTCTTGTTCTCACTTCCTCTTTCTTCAAGCAGCAGTGCTAAGTCTGTCCGCATCTCGACACTTTTGACATGTCTTTATTGGGTCATCATGGGGTAGCACTTTCTTGTATTTTGATTTTGAGCATATCTGTTGGTTAGATAACGAGTCTTGGTTCATGTAGAGTATCATACTTTTCGGATGCTTCTTGGAAGGTATGGTAGTAGGTATATACACAAGTTCCCAAGGTCACATGATGTCACATGACCTGTCAAAGGGTGGTTGAGGTGGGACAGCTAAATGATGGTGTAGCCGAATCGATAACTGGCTTGATGCAGTGCTATGATGCTACAAAAAGATTGTTGCAAAGATATGCAAGGATAAGATGAGGATAATGGATTGTGATGATATGCAGTGAATCAAAGTATTATCTCATAAACACTCCCTATTCTCAAAATCAGAGGAGATCAAACTAAGCCTCTAACACAATTGAATCAACCAAAATATGTGGCTTCAAAACTAACTTCTCTGCTGCTCAGGTATTGCACAATGAGTATAACGCAGGTCAGAACAGAGTACACCCTCCTGATGTAGTCTTAAGGCAGCCAAGCTCTTAATATTGTTGAGTAAAGTGCTAGTCTTATTTGTCTTCCTTCCTAATCATTAAGAAATACTTAGATTCTCCCCACAGAAAAGATATCCTGTGTCATAAAGAGAATGACGAAACTATAACTAGATGACTGATAACTGTGTACCAGCTAGTATAATTTAAGGATTGGCTCAAGGTAGGCCTCAGAAGATCAGTATATTGTGGGAAATAATGATAAATGAATGAAGGGAATAAACTAATATTCACTCAAATATTCACTCAAATATAGGGTGAGAAACTTAGGAAGATACTCAAATCTTCCTTTCTTCTCAAAAGGGAATCTTTCAAGAAGAGTGCATCTATTATTCAGAGGGGAAACAGAACCCCTTATATACTACTCTAAATGTGGCTGTGTAACTATCTAAATAAGGAAGTGTGACTCAGAATGAGTCATAACAGATATGACTCATAGTGACTCCATCTATTGTCAAGATGTTCCATGATGAACTTGTTTACTTCTCACATATTCTCATCTATGAACTTTCTCCATACAAATATCTGACTAATACAGAAAGTTGTAAAAAATGTGTGGTAAAATATAAGAGACCATGAGAAATGCTGAATAATATGTTGTGGTATGTTTGTAACCAATCTTTGAACCAGATAAGTATCAATATAAACTGTTAAGTTGTAATGTAAGGTCTTCAGGTCTGAAAATTTACTCAAATAAAATCTTAAGGTAGTGTAGAAAATTCATGATAATTTCATAGAGCAAAATAGGGAACTTCAAGGATCAAAAATAGCTATGACCATGCAAAAAACAGGTTTGGTGCATATCAGCAGAATGGAAAAGAACTATGGTGACCTTGGAAAGGTGAAACCACTAATGAGAGTGAAGGTGAGACTGCAGGTCCAGTGAAAGTGTGATGTAAAACAAATAAGTGAGAGGTTTCTAGGTAAAGAGCAATAGGTTCTAGGTAAAGTGTGGTTTCATGAATAGTGGCTAGGTATAGATAAGGTTACGGTTGAAGTATAACTAAGTATGAAATGCTAAGTCGAAGCCTGAGAGCAGTTCAGATCCATGCAGAGCCTAGGTAAGGTAAACTTAAATATGCATTCTCAGAGCAGTCAAGAGCACACAGGTTCAGAGTGAGAATGAACAAAGCTTGTCAATTGATCAAAGTACCAGAATATCTAATGTGACTCTGCAAAACAAAGGTTGCATCCAAGAGAAAGGAAGTACTGTACTGTATGTAGTGTGCAAGATTATATCCTACTGCATGAGCATCTGGAAGTATAGGTGAGAACTGTAGTGACAGAAAATGAGGCAGATAAGTAATATGTAACAGTGATATACATGGAACAGACTACATGGTTACATGTAATAAGCCTTGCTATTTTTTTTAGTTAAGCTGAAGAGAAAATGAACATTCACCAGTGGAGATAGGTGAATATGAGAAGGACATGGACAGACAGTGCAGAACAGAAATCCAAAGTGCATGGAGTGGGTATGACTGTGGGTGCTCACCGATGTAAAGAGTTGATTCCTGGTGGGCTATACAAAAGGTGTTACCTTAATACTCTATGTGCAAGTGAGATGTTTGTCCCAAAGAGACTGCCTGTAGGATTGTTTCTTGATATAAAATGCAAGGGATATCTTGTTAAGATCAAAGGAGAGAGAAAGAAAGGATACCTCAAGTGCATTCAGAGTTATGAAGGATTGTCTGAAGTATCCAATGAGTTGTCCAAGGTGTCCGGTTGAGGTCTGATGTCAAGAAATGAAGGTCCAAGGTCATGTGAAGCTTCTGGCAAGCTTCCAGTGAAACAACAAGGTTTCTGGTGATGAATACGGCAGTTTGTCGAAGTATAGAAGTTGTGTAGTATAACTATGCAAAGTCCATTGAAAGACTAAGGGATGTCAATAAGCAAAATGGCAGCGGTCAGGCCAAACAATCATTCCAAATAAACAAAAAGATTGATTGCATGAAGCACTAAAATCTGAAAGTGACTCTACTAACTATGACTTGTAGCAAGGGAAGTGAAGTGAGTTGCGAGTAATTAGCGAGCCAAAATACATCCTACTGTGTGAAGGTCCAGAATCTATGTAGGCAAAAACTGTAGCAAGATAAGCCATCCAAATGTAATAAGATTCAAGGTGAGCCACTATGAAGATATGTGTGTAATAATGCATGAGGTGCATATATATACGCATTAGCAAGGCTTTTCAATGTATGTGCCCCTAGACATAGCCAATAACAGATAACCAAGTGAAAAATGCACCAGCAAAGTCAAACGGACAAGGACAGGACATGGTACAAAGGACCGGAAAAGCTAAATAGGCCTTTGAAATGGACAGACGACTCAGATAAGTGCATGGAATTTTCAGAGGATCAGAAGAGTGTCGAGGAATGTAAGATGTGATTTTGACAGGATATGTGCCCAGCACTGACCTGAGTGTTACACTAGGTGACATTGGCCTAGATGTACTTGCTATTGAAAATGCAAGAGGATGAGATGGAACTGATATCCTCCAATAGCCCTTGACACCAATATGAAAAGACACTCTTTGCAGCCCAGGGAGGTTCTGAGTGTCACATTGGCACAACACACTTGCACTCAGTTGGATTTATTGGTGCTCTAGCTTTCTTGCTGGCTAGCTACTATTACTTCTTCACAATAATTACTGTCTCCACCCACCTAAAGTCATTAGAAGTTTGTTTAGAATGATCCAACTATACAAACAACCACATTATCAACTGTTGGTATTTGTCTGAACTGGTGATTTTATTACCTTTCACATCCTAGATATGTAATGACAAAAGTAGACAAAGTAATATATAAGAGAAGCAAATTGATAGTGAAGGATAAGACATGTAAAAAATATACAATTCTGATGAAAATAGGCAAGTATACCAGTATTTCTCAACTGCATGGTCACCTATGATCACTGGTGACCATCACTTGAATAACTTTATCATTGAGAGGCTCAGTCCTATAGGATGCCTATGTAAGTCTGAATGTTTTCATCAAGTTCAATGTCTTCTTACTAGTCCCTTCTCTCAATGCCACCATCACCACTTAATTACTCTGAACTTGCCCTCTGAATCTCAAAGTCTCACTCTCTTTAGCCCCCTCTCTTGGTCCCTCCTTTGTGGTCCCTCCTCCCTCTTATATTTTTTTTCTACTTTTTTCATCTTTTGTTGTGTTATATATGTATATGTACTTACCTCTTGTTTGTTTGATTACAAAATGAATTTTTTTGGAATAAAATGTGTGTACAAAGGTCAAAAAATTCTTGAAGCCACCTCTAATTGTCCTCGCTTAAGTCTCATGAACATGCAGACGAGGAGAAGTTTAGCCAGCAAATTCAAGGACCCCGATGCGAGAATGTGGGGTCCCCAGTGGATTCAGGAAGCAAACATGCCCAAACTCAACCAACACTACTAAGACAAACACACTAATCTAGGGAGGGATAGGGTGGGTGCATGCAAGATAGCTATAGCTAGCAAGATGAGTAATCCAAGTGAGAAGAGAACTAAACTAAAAATAATTGGCATACCTAGCGAGACGAGCAATTCAAGTGAGAAAAGGTAAAGACCCCAATTCACCAAGTCCTGCTAGACATAGGCCAAAATAACTCCACTAGAGGAGGTGGCAATGAGGATTGCAAAGACGTATTAGTCACATCAAATGATGCATGGGGCACCCATCAAAGGGACAGGCCCTTGACATAAGCGAAGTTCGGGATGACTCAAAAGATGAACTGCTAAGGAGCTCGCTCATCCAATTACCCTGGTGTAAATAAAGTTAAACTCAAAACATTATCAAACTTTGTCATGGCTGCCAAGTGTTGGCAAAATTTGCCAGATTGGTTAGAAATGGCAAGTAATTGCAGGCTGACTATCATGATTGTGCTTTTAGCAGTTTCCATTCAACTTACTCTGGGTGTATAAAGCATTTTCTAAAGAACTACCATTTTGATAGATATTGTACAAGATTTAAGTCAGGTAAAGCTTGACAAAACTTTACCATTTTTACATCACTTCCCTGATGACAAGTATCCCAGTTGTAATAGGATTGACCTCCTGCCAGCCTCAAATCTAATAAATAAATGGGAATTGAATCATTTCAAATGTTACCCAGTGAATGAGTGATTCAGGCTGCACAGAGGTAGCAGTTAGACCAATCACTATCTAATAAGGTGAGAGGTTCGGAATACCATCACCAAAACTCCACAAACTAGATATGGGAAGATAAGGTCATATCACGAGTCAGAATGTACCAGCAGATACAACAGGCACAGAAGGTACCAGCAGCTCCAGAGCACCAAAACAAAGTCTTATATAGGAACTCATTTTTCAGCACCGGTCGATCATGATGACAATTTTCTGTCATGTGGTCAATCATTTGATGGATGAAAAGCCACATGCTGTAGACCTTAGCACCTGCTAGTACTTGCTGGTGCCTTATCACATCTCACCAGACTGTTTGTGTTGTATAAGCACATATCATCATTGCAGTACCATACAAGCATGTAGTAGACAGACAAATTTGAGCACGAAGGAAACATGTGAAATACAGGTATGTGTGATGCAACATGAAAACAACCAGTGCAATTGCAAGTCCGTCCAGTAGTTATGCATCAATAACGAAAAATGCTGAGTCCATTTGAAGCTGTGATGCGATGATAGCAAGAGAAACAGGAATATGATGCTGCAGCGCTAAAAACCACATAGTCAGTCAAATATACCCAAGGGACATCAAGCATGTACTAAAGTCTACTTCCGGCCCTTGCATTTCCTCTTGCTGGTGGTGGTGGTGGTGGTGGTAGCCTTGCCCTTGCCCTTCTTTGTGTGCTTCAATGGAGCAGGGACATCTGAATCATTTTCTGTCAGTGAGCTCTCATCATCGGACTCCATCACATTAGTCCTGCCACACTTCTTAGACATTCGGGTGCCAGTGCCTGAGCCAGATGGGACAGGAGCCAAAGGGACAGTGTGAGACAGTGTATTGCTAGTGCCTGAACCCGATAGGATGGGTGCCTTGAGAGGGAGGGTGCAAGGTGGAGCTTCAGCATCCACATTCGGAGTCACCACCTGCTGCTGAGAAGTTGGTATGATAGGACATGGCTTGGGGATGGATTTTGCTGGAACAGGTGCAGGTTCTTCAATGGGAGGCAGCATAGTGGCAGGAGTCGAAGTCATATTGATCACAGATGTATCAGAGCCAGGATCGGAAGGTAGGGTACTACCTTGCACGTCTGAAGATATGGACTGAAATAGACATTAGCAAAATATCATTTTTTAAAAATAACGAACCTTAAGTCGTGCTTCACGACTTGCAAACTGTTTTCACATGCTGATCAAATCATCTTCTTCCTCGTTGTCATCATCGCTAACGTCAAAGACCGGTATACCTGCCTTGTCGCCAAACACAAACCTTTGCGAGAACTCAGCAACATGTGACAGATCAATACAAATAATACATACATATTCCACCACTCAAGTAATGAATCTGCCCATGTCTGATCAAATGGCTCTTGGATGGCTCGGATGATTCGGTAGTAGGCCTTGTGATAGTCATATTTACTGTCCATAGCTTGCCATTTGTCACGCAATGAAATACTGAAACGGCACTGAAAATTGAGTTGTAAGACGTATTAAAGCGGTGTTTAAAAACATATACCTGAATGAATGTATAGGCCACATGTTCAGCATCCACCTTCAGCATGTTGTGAAGCTTTGTATTACCAGAGCGAGTTGTAACAACCTCTCCATCATTGGCCAGAGCGGAGGAAGGGCCCTTGAATATGTGCTGAAAGACCTATGGTAGAGTTGAAAGAGCGTCAGGAAAACAAAACATTAAGTGACATACCTGTTTCATAAGATAGCCTTTGAAAAGGCCATTCTGCATATCAAGTGGATTGAAATTCTCTCCAGGTGAGTCGCCCTCATATGCAAATGCAGGCCATGCAGCAGCATGCATCTTGATATGGCCACTTTGCAACTCTCCCTGAATCCTGAACAATAGTGAGAAAGGCAACACACTGAGTAGATACTATATACATACTTCTTGGGATTCTCGCGATAGGCTGCAAGGTGTTTGATCAGACAGAGCATGCCAGCAAGTTGGGGATGATTCACGCCCATCATAGCACGTGACTTCTGATTGTCAGAGTAAATCACAGGTGTCAGTGGGTGGTTTACAGCATCTAGGGCCACATAGCACCCTATATATGTAAGGCTTGAGTTTACTTGCATCTTCAGAGCGGATTTGCCCGGTGATGTCCTGCATCTTCTCATGGAGTTAGCACTGACAATTCTGCAGAGTAAGTTTGCACACCTCCAATAATATATGTCCCAGCTCCTTTCAATGCTTCTTTGTGTTTCCCTTAACGAGGGTGCAGAGGTAGGGTGCGCTTGTGAGGATCCTTTTGTAGGTCCTCAAGGAACGCTCTTGTACATCTTTTTTCCTGTGAAAGTGTTATCTATGATGAGAAAGCAAACTCCGGACTTACACATGTTCAAGAGTCTCCTGACACTCCTTCTTGGCAGCATCATCCTCGATCAAAGTTCTGTCCTTGGCAGATTCTTCCTGCTCAAGGAGCATACCGATTCTAAAAGTGTCCTTGAGGACAACATACATGTTGATTGCATGTGGAATCCAACGTGCAATGTGCAGGCATTGGTCCCTAGGAATAGATCATTATGAATTCAAATAACTAAATGAAAATGAAAATACCTCTCGCTATCATGACTCCTATTTGGTTTTCTGTGAATATATGCGCTGTTAATGGTAATGATCTGATCAGGTAATGCTTAGAACCTACTTCATTAATTTTTTCTGAGGCTGTTTGCCTTTATCAGAAGCCTTTTGCGCCTTACTTTTGACGATCGGAGTCGGAGATGAATGTGAGGACTCATTTCCAGAGAGAGTAGAGTCGGAGTCGCTACTGTCTTTGGATGTACTGCTCCATATGGTGCGTTGTTTCTGAGGCATGATACTACAATAGAACTTGTTACAAATGTTGATATGGTTGTTGATTATGGGGAGAGCAAGATCAAGATTAATCGTCCAACATCAAAATATCCTTGAGGTCATTGTTTATGTTTGTTGTTTTGGAGCTTGAATCTGATCAATCTGTGCTGCGTATGCAAGTTCATGTCCTGATTCCTATGATCTTGATCATATTCATATCATCCGTGTGCTAATAGTAAGTTCAAAGTCCTGACTACCTTGTCATCCTAATTCCAGATAGGTTTGTACACCTTGGTACAGGACAAGCTGCTGCCTATGTAGGGATTTGAGGATTCAGAGGACCGGAAGTTTGGAAGAAAGGCTTGTGAACGTGAGTCCCTCCTTTTCTTATTTGTTAACACACCAACTAATCTGCTGTATCTCTCTTAGATTCATATTATGATATCCTCACATGTAATCATAGTTACATTGTGTTAATTTGACTTTACCTTCTGTGCTTTACTGTGTGGATTGATCACAAGTACCAAGGTCATAGTGAGTGATATAAAGTGTGCTCTGATATCTTACTCGCAGAACCACACTTCTCCAATGCCAGACTTAACATGTCTGGGCTGTGGTAAACCTGTTCCTACCCAGAAACAACTATCTGTGCATGGTTCACAATGCTCAAAAAACCAGGCACTCAATCTCATGAGTTCCATATTCAGCGCCAAGAAACGTCAAAGGTCAAATAAGTCTGGCAAGAATTCGAAGCAGATACGCATTGAGTGGGAGGAAATAATTGAGCAAGGTATGGATGACCAACATGGAGCCCTTTACCATCAAGCCCCAATGGATATCTCGGATGATGGTGTCATTTTTGAACAGGTAAATATATTCATTCGCTTGAAAGATGACTAACTTCGGTACTGATGTTACCAGCTGGAGGCTATTGCAGGTCCATCAAACATACCCTCACCCTCACCTCCTCCCCTAGTCACTTCAAAGTGCTCTGGACGCACAGTGTGCATGCCTCAGCGCTTCATTGACTACCTCCCTGGATCAGCCACGCACCTTGCACATATGCCTCCCACTAACCAGCAGCAATGAGGGCGTGTTCTGCACGAAGCAGATGAATCTCAACATGTTCGATCACCATTACCGTTCCCAGCACCATCTTCTGAGCCAGAAGATCCCCGCCCTGCACGCATCCCTTTCCAGACCGAACCCAACGTCATGGGATTTCATCATGTGTACCCAACACGTCCCACTTTAGCTCCAGAGGGTCTCTTGACCTTGGAGAGAGTGACAGATGCGCCAACCCTGGACAGTGACCAAGCGGCACTTCATGGAGTGCACCCTGGTCTCTCTACACCTGAAATTAGCGCCAAGCACTTGTTTGATGGCTTCTCAAACCACACTTCCGGAGTTCTGATGGTGTGGCATTACTCTGGCACCAATAGTAACTTGGCGGTCAATGTCAATCGTCTTGCAGACTACCTTAGTTCAGATCCTCATTGCTCCCTTGCTCACCTGAGTGGATTTAATTTCACGCGTGAAATTAAGCTGTCGGACAAGTACATTGAAGATAGGTCTAACCCCTTTCGAGAAGAATATGGATGGCACCGATCTACTGTCAAGATCCAGTTTCCAAATGAGAAGACGAAATTTCAATCAGAAGCTGATGCTTCTGAACTCGAGATCCCAGGTGTTCATCATCGTTCTTTGACTGACATCATCACACACATGTTTGAAAGTGATGTTTCACAGTCATTTAATATGACACCATTCGAACAGTTCTGGACCACGCCTGACGATTGTACGATCAAAGTTTTCTCAGAGGCATATGCATCCCCTGCACTGATGGAAGCTTACACAGAAGTTAATGCCCTCCCTCATGACCCTGGAGATGACCTTGAGCGTGTTGTTGCCTCACTCATGGTGTGGTCAGATTCTATGCACCTGGCAAACTTTGGAGATGCCTCCCTCTGGCCATTTTATGTCTTTTTTGGGAATCAGTCCAAGTATACATGAGGCAAGCCCACGGCTCATGCTTTGCATCATTTGGCATATATTCCAACAGTACGTATCCCTCATTTTCATTAATATCAGTATCTTACTATGTTTGCTTCAGCTCCCAAATAATCTACAAGAAATCTACATGGATATCTTTGGCAAGGCTACATCGAGCAATGTTCATACACATCTGAAATGTGAGTTGATGCAAGCGATATGGCAATTACTTCTGGGTGGTAAGTTTATGGAAGCATACAAACATGGAATCGTGATCTGGTGCTCTGATGGAATCACACGAAGAGTATTTCCACGATTCTTTTCATATTCGGCGAACTATCCTGAGAAGTAAGAACACATTTCATTTTACATGTGATTGGACATGAGGCATTAACATGTTTTGCACTGCGCAGAGTTCTACTGGCTACTATAAAGTTTCTCAGAGGGTGCCTCTGTCCACGCTGCCTGGTCAAGAAGGCAGATGTCCACAAGATGGGCATGAAACTCAACATGAAGCATCGCGTGACTAACAGATGCATTGATGACTTCTGATGACAGTGCAGTGTTGAAGAAGCCCGTGTTTTGATTTTTCGACTCAGAGTCCCTGTGAGTGGGAGCTGTGTCAAAGCAATTCTTGATGAAGCTTTGTATGTTCCAATTCGTGTAAGCAACTCTATATATTCTATATTTCTTTCACTAATACATGGGTTCAGTCTGCATTTTCTGAGAGACTTGCAGAATATGGATTGAACATGTTCAATATGTTCCTCATCGACCAGTTTCATGAGTTTGAGCTCGGCGCATGGAAGGCCAAATTCACTCATTTGATGCGGATACTTCATGCAGCTGGAGGGAACGCTATTCCAGATCTCAACAACATGGTAGTGTTTTTGGGTACATCATTGGTCTTACAAGCTCACAGTGTTTTACATTAGATACCAACAAGTACCAATATTTGGCAGGGGAACTATTTGTCACTTCCACAACAATGCCTCTGCCATGAAAAAACTTGCAGCCTGCAACTTCGAGGACCTATTACAAGTAAGTCAACTTTAATGATCATTGTTTATTTATTTTTAACTTCTCCAGTGCACTATTGCCGTCTTCGAGAAGCTATTGCTGGATGACCATAATAAGATTGTCCTTGACCTTCTATTCGATCTCTCTGTTTGGCATGCATATGCCAAACTTCGAATGCACACAGAAGACTCGCTCACCTTGTTTGATACTGCAACCACGGTCTTAGGCCAATCTGTCTGAAAATTCTTCAAGACTACGTGTAGCTACTACCATACAACAGAACTCCCTTATGAGTATGCGGCATGAGGACGTCGAGAGGCTGCATTAGCAACCAAACAACCTTCATCTTCAGGTAAAGGGAAGCAGAAGTCTGGTCCCAAGTTCAAGGCCCTCAATTTGTCAACTTATAAGTTCCATGCTCTCAGACATTATCCTAACACAATTCGATGTTTTGGTACTACAGACAGTTTTTCCACACAGCTGGTAAGTTTATCTCAAATTGAACTGCTGACTATCTGACATCCTATTTGTAGGGAGAACTCAAACACCAGCAAGCCAAGTGCTGGTATCCTAGGACAGCCAAGAACAAGACAACCATGGTCACTACAATGACCCACCTCGAAGCCTGTGAACGGGTCATTGCATGGATTAACCAACGACACAAGGAGCTACTCAAGGCACCCAGCATATCACGTGAACAGACATCACCTGCTGCACACTATCACATTTCGAAATATCCTAAGGCATCATATGATATGACTGCATGGCTCAGTGACCTGATAGAAGACCCTGCAGTTAAGGTAAGTAGTTCATTGTATTTTTAGATCTGTTGATAGTGAACACAATGTCATAGGACTTCATTCCAAGAATGAAGAATCATCTATTAGCAAGATTGTGCGGTCTCAAGTACTCTGGAGATGAACATGAATTCTCTGATGAGGACAGAAGCCAGGTCATTCTTGCCAACAATCAACTCTACGAACACAGTATACTGCACATTAACTATACAACCTACGACCTTCACTGAGAACAAGATTCAATGAATCCACGAACTCATGCTGATATCATAATGTTGTCACATGAGACTGATGAGGACCGACACCCCTATTGGTACACCCATATTATCAAAATATTCCATGTCAATGTGTGGGACTATGGTCCAGGTGTTTCTCAAGTTGCACCTACTCGCATGCATGTGTTATTTGTGCATTGGTTTGGGCGAGATGTTGCCTTCAAAGCTGGATGGTTTGCCAAACGACTCCATTGCATTGGATTTTTTAGTCAAGACAATCCTGACAGCTTCAGTTTCGTTGATCCTGATCAAGTGATCCGGGGAATTCATTTAATTCCCGGATTTGCATATGGACAAACTGACACTCGACTCGGACCTTCATTTGTCCATCCACCTGAAGACAAGGACATGGACTTCATGTATTTTTATGTGAATCAGTGTGTATTGTCTTTGCTACTCTATGCTACAACTAACAAATGCTAATTTTCTCTTAAGTTTCGTAGATCGGGACATGTTCATGTGTTTCTGAGGAGGTGGGGTGGGCCGCAAGATGCCGAAAGAGCTGTATGAACATCTGCGGAGTGATGGCACTGTGGAGAATGCCGACGAGATCGAAGAAGTTAATTTCGGAGAGCCGGATCAATCTTGGGGAAGTGAGGAAGACGAGAACAGTGAGGGCAGTGAGGATGAAGACCATGCCAATGATGAGCCTGAAGATATGATTGTAGCTGATGACGATGAGGAGCTTGATGATGACTTTCTCGAACAGGAAGGGTATGATGCATTATGATTTCCAGTCCAGTCCTTTGTAACTTAGTGAATATCAGGCAATATCATATTTAGTTTTGATTATCATATTGATATACAACTGGTAAGAGTATCTATACATACAACGATCGAGAATTGTGCCGGTGTCAGGTTGGACATGATACTGGCAGGAACACCTGCACAGACACCTATTGATTCAGACTTGGACAGCTTGCACTTGAACAGGACAGAGGGAAACGAAAGCAGGGAATGTCAGGTAGCATCCAGACTGATAGCAGTATAGCAGAGTACAGTTACATTGACAGCACATCAAGCAGATACTTACAATGTACTGGCTACTCCACATCATCAATTATATCAGTCATGATCGAAAACAATTTGTCAGCATCAGCCTAATCAGGCAATACCAGGTTTTTGAAGTTTTCGTGATGACAGCGCTAACGGGCCAGGGCTGCCATAACTGCATGGCACTCGTTGAGAAAATGGTTGGTTCGCCGAGATAAGAAGGGAGGGGACTTTACAGAGTTATGTACTACAACTATATAGAGCAGCTTGTGAGTTCAACGGTTTCAACATCATCAAAACGTGACGAGGCGTGACGTCGCAAGTGCCGTCATGCCCGCGAAGTTTGGCAATTCTAAAAGAAACGGCTAAATTTAGGAACGATCGTTTCATGTCTTTCGTCCCTGCATGATGTCAGGATCAGCAAATGTACTTCGCACTATGCAGAGACGTACTATGTACGGTAGACTGCAGATGAGGCCATAACATTTGTTACTTAGCTCATTTTTGGGATCGGGAACGATACGTGTGAAGTGTCAAATGCGCCTAATTCCGATTCGCAAGACGCCGAACGAATTGTTCCGGTCACAGACAGCCGTTATCACGATGTGGAGTAAATCAGATGCAATGAGGACAATTTCGAAGGCGAGTGATTTTTATTGCCGATTCTGCTCGTAATTTCCACTACATCGAAGTTGATATAGATCAATTCCGATATCAATGATACCTTTGTTGTGAGTGCTCAAATGAAAGCCTTGCTCACATTGACCCTATTTCATTCTGGGGAACAGCCGAACCTGAGTAACTCGCAATCGTTGCAGACCGTTAGAACCTCTGGATTCGGTGTGCGGACATTGAACACATTAGTATTACACGAGGATCGTGTAGAACGAAACAGGTAAAAGGTGGTGTTTATAAACGTGTCCAATTGAGCTTAGAGGGTTGCGTCGTCAGAACAATGAAAATAAAATAACTACAATCCATCAAAGTCTAGTAAAGAGGTCAGCTGTTATCAAGCTACAAGAAAACAGACGAACATATATATTACATGTTCATTTGATCCGAAGTGGAGCACGAAGAACGAACTGAAGCCGACTGGTGGGCTCTGGTGTGGTAATACAGAAGAATGCCGATGTACGGGGGATACGACGTCGCAGGAGAAGGTCATGGACATAATCGACAGCGCTGGTTGGGCTATCTTGAAAGTAATGAGACGTGTTCAGAGTGTATGTTAAGCACAATAAGTTTGGAATACGAACCGCTACTGATCTCCATTGTGAGTAAGAAAAAGGGTATGGTATCTTTTCAAGGACCATAGGGTCGCTGAGTGGTGGGTGAGTTGCGAGGTTGTTTTCGTGCCTCTTCCTCCGTTCGAGCCAGTTTGCGTCTTGCTTTCTCTTCTGCAACTCTCCTGGACTCCGTCCACAATTCAAGAGTATAGTCATGCAGAGTCTTGGAGTATGATATCAGTGGATCCTGTTGAACACTAGAAATTGAAGTGCACATAGACATAGACACTGATGGCAGAATCAGGAAGAATAGGGAAGTGGGCGAATGAGAAACTGGAAAAAGGACACTACGAGCCCACGGATAGGGAAATATATACGTTGAATGTCATGAGGGCGTTGCGAACCATTCGGATCAATTGGGCCGCCCCAACGCTCCACAACTGCTTGCACGCAATTGGTTACAGACCTTCAATGTCCCCGCGGTATTAGTGACACCTTGCAACCTCCATTTATTCTCCGTGTCGTTAAACTCACGTGGCAAAGCCAGGACACAATCACCTGCGACACTACCCCTTCAGGGCAATGGGGCTTAAAGAAAGGAAGATACTGTCTCAGATAAAGCATTCTTTGGATCTGTGATACCTGCAGTTACACAACTTTAATAAAGGAGGGTCACTTCGAAAAATTAAGATCTCACACTATCTGTACCCCGGTTTTGCATCACGTCACAACGTTGGAGTACTTTACACATTGGTGCTCGTTTTATTTTTCCTGTGTTCCTATTTCACTTGACTCATTTCGCAACAGAACACGGGTCACTCATCTTTTAGTATACATAGGACCGTTGTACCCCCGCGGCCCACGAGTATCAAAACATTCAATTTCATTTTTTCTGTACCAGTGCAAGGGAATTCTAGTGATGTAAAGGAACTCACAAGATTTAATTGGTCGCTCAAACTTAAAATCCGGATCTCCCTGAACCGGCGTAAACAGCTAAGCTGGTTGTGAAGTCAGGTTGAGTCAGCTGCCAAATCAGTCACTACCTCTGCAAGCGCAGTCGCGGCTGTAATTACTCTTTAGATTCCCTACCCGGTGCTGAGCGGATATCGCTAGGCACCATAAGAGCTCTATCAATTGTCCGGAAATTGAAGCTTTGAAGCTTTGAAGGTTGATTCAGGGTTAAACGTTCAACAAGACTCAAAAATGGTAGTGAAAAACCCTAGAAATACTTTAGAAACCCGCATACTTTTCAGCTGTGTAGGCGGTCTGAAAACTCCGAGTACCGTCGTACTCCTCTCCCACGTCTGGAGAATAAGGTTCATGAAAGTCGCCTTGGATGTTTGATATACGGTAGTGGAGTAAGTACGATCCCTAAAGTAACATGAGTCCACCGATGCCACATCAAAAGGTTCGAGGATGGCGGAGATGTGAAACGGATGTTAGCCAAGAGAAAGCACGAGCAATGCGTCACGCGTGTGTTCGTGTGGATGTACTCCGTTTAGGCAGGATGACATCCCTAGCATGGACATCAAGGGTAACGTGTATATCGTGATATTTCCGCAAGTCAATTGCCTCCATTTTGGCCACCCCGGCTGTATCGTTCGGAAGCCAGATGATCGGTGGTGGGGCAAGCAACTCGGGCGGATACATGATGCCTGACATCTCTTCGGCATGGTCCCCAAAGGATAACAGAGGAAGGTGCGGAGGAGCGTCAGGATGCGTTCTGGCAGCTCGCTCTGTAGCAATTAGATCATCCAGAGTTTCCGTTCCTATAAGACTATATCAGTACTTTAATGATGTTTCAAATAAATGTGCGTACGAAGTGGTAGAGGACCACGATGATTTGAAGCTGATGGCATAACCGCTAACGTGAGAGACATCATTTCGAGGACAGAAGCCATCGACCCCCTTGTGCGGTTCCCTCTAGCGGTGATCATGCTGCGATTCTCGTCATCGGTATCAGTATGGTTATCTGATTCCAACGCCCTGCGAAATAATCTAAGAGACTCTTGGGTGCTCTCAGGTAACGCTTGGAGGCTTGCAAGCCTCGTTTTGTGCATGGTGTACACTTCTACTATCCCCACCACAACGAGAGCTATGCCCACAAGTATTCCTCCCTCTATCCAGAGCCGCCGACTGAGCAAAATTAGACCGAGGAGTAGAGGCTGTAGCGCAAGGAGTGTACCCAATCGCTTCAGCAACCAGATCTGGAGAAGCCCCCCAGTCTCCGAAAGAGTTCGGGCATAAACATATCCAATGAGATATCTATGGGCTATGGAGCGGTCATTTCACTCTGTGGAATGGTAAGGTACAAAATGACGCACCAACAAGAGCCAAAAACAGAAGAATCACAATAGCTGGCCCGATCAAAGGGAAAATGAGAGAAAATGCTGATGCAAAAACCATGGATAGTACACAAGCACTTGCAGCATAAGAAGCATCGTAAGTTGTCGGATATACAGCTAGTCAATAAGATAAGTTTAATGCAATCGAAATCGAGTCAGGAGCCGTACCTCGGAAACGCTGTCTTGGGGTGACGGCGTCTTGTTCCGAATGAAGAACAGACCACAATCGGAGGGGTTGTAACAACATTAACCCAGGGAATAGGACAGCAACGTTGATAATGAGAGCGAAAGCGAAAGCGCTCATATAGACACAACCGGTTGCGACCGTTTTAGCAATGTCAACCCCATGATTAAATGCCTCTAACGCGAAAAGGAGAGCACCGGCAGTGATGGTAAATGCGGCAACCACGACTGTTATGGTGTAAAACACAAGTTTGACCGCGAGCATTCGAACTCCGGACACGGATACAACACCACTCCATCCAGCTGCCCCTACATCATAACATGATGAGCATTGCACAGGGTGAGCATGCCGTGAATGTGCTTACGTTTTATGATCCTGAGTGCAATCACAGTGAAGAGCGCAACACCAATTGCGGGAGCAAGAGAAGTTGCTAATCCAGAGACAAGGTTCCCATGGTCTGAAAGGGGGCGAAAGAAAGGTAAATAATGCTCCACACTCGAAGCAGCGCTGAGGGCAAGTCCCGCAACAGCCGTGACTATACAGAGTTCAACACCGATATTCCCTCACTATATAGGAAAAATGCGACTCACGGCCAGCGGCAAGGAGTATATTAACCACTGCCATAACCAACCAAAATGCTGCAGAATCCAGCAGCGTCGTTTCGTTCTGTAGGGTGTCCCAACGCACGTCTTCCTTTGCCCTACCCTCTATCAGCTCCACAGCATGCATGTGGCGCAAACCACGCCCGATTATGATCCAACCCTTGACAGGCGCGCCATCGGCGATATCTGCATAGGAATCTTGCTGAGCTTCGGCAATCTGCATGTTGATGAGCTTTAGCCGGGAACGCCACTGGTTTATTTCGGCATAGACAGCACCGAGATTATCGTAGTTAAGGTCAGAAGCAGGTCGGACAAACGGCTGTCTCGGCTGCAGGCGTAAATGAGGTGGTGGAACATCTTCAGCGGGAATGTTGCCCTTTGGTCGAATCCTTAGTGGAAAGGTCTCCCGGCGGTCGGATGACGTATCAAGAGGTCTCTGAGGTTGCCTTCGGGGTGCAAGCTCTTCCTGTGGTCGGGGTGCTGGGCAAGCAGCAGGTCCCTCGCTCGACGATTTGCCAAAATCGATCTCGTGCCTGAGGACAACCCAGTCGTCATCAAGAGATTGCCGAATGTCCGATGACGACTCCACAGTTAGATATTCAGTGCCTGTCCCAGTTCCACCACCACTTTCAAATGACCCTCTGCCATGGTTTGGCCCGTAGTACTTTGGGTCAGGAACTGAGATCGACGGCTCTCCGAGTTCCTCCGTTTTTACATGGCTTCCTGATGGCATGGCATTGTAGGATGCCGAACCTCTCTCGCTCTGTTGTTTGAATGAATCCGTCAGACTAATCGGCGTGTTGATGCTGTCGGAAAGTCTCCCGCCATTGACGTTTTTCAGACCGCGTAATTTGTAGTACTGTGATGGGGCCACAAACGAGGTAGGGGCGAAAGACGAGTTAGCCTGCGCTGGGTTGTGTCTGCGATGGCGTGGACGGTTTCTCTGGAAACAATTGTTAGCCCAGGAGATATAGAATTATACACTGAAGTTATCACCGATCCAACTAAAGCACGAGGCCTGCCTATGTGAGGTTTGGATGGCGTTCTTTCAGATATACTAGGAGCGAGAATTTCAAGATCAGCAATCGAGGGGTCGGGCGTTGAAATTTTGAAAGATGATATGTATCTTGTTTCTGCAACTTCGAGATTGTCCAAAATTTCGTCTCGTTCTCTGATGAGAAGTGCCAAATTATGCGTGTCACTGGAAAATGTTGCTATATCAGCGCCCATGAATATTTATCTTAAACGCCTTCTTACCATACAGTGAACAGACTTTGGACGTCAACCTCGAATACTGAATCCTGAGAGTTCTGATAGTAAGACTGAGTTCGGCGTGAGTGCTGCAACGGTCGGTTGTTGGACCGAGAAGAGCCTCCCAAGGAAGAACTGAGTCCAATTTTGACAAAATGATCCTTAATACGTTTTTCTCCCCATCCTGCAAAACCGGAGGCTTTCCTGGAGCTCAGCCAACCCATTTCCTTCCCTTCGCATCGTACTTCTAACCAGCGCCGGCGGAATGTAACAAGGTTGTTAATTTCTTTCAGTATTTTATATAGCGCCGGTAGCGTAACCGCAAATACCGCCAAAATGGCAAGAACAACGATGCGCAGTCGAACATTTGAAGTTTGGTTATCGCCGTCAAGCACGTTGAGTACTGAGTATGTAGTATTTGTAGAGGCCGAGTCAACTTCTAGTAGCTGCAGGAGACGTAGCAAGCTGAGGTCCTGAATTGTGGAGTAAACTCCGGCAAAATCAGGGTCACCTGACAAGTGCGCAAGGCATGGCGTAGACACGAGGTATATCGGCAAGGCGCCGACAAGGCCCACTAAACTCCAGCCAAGCACGACTATGAGACATGTCCACAGAGTTCGTTGGCTCAACTCCTCGTCGGATGGAAATAGGCGAGCGCGCACTGGAATTGACCTTCCAGTGTCGGGGACATCTGAAGGTATAGGTGGAACAAGCGGTACAGAGGGAAAGAGGAACGCGCCGAGATTCGAGCTTAACCGATGCGGTCGCAGCCTGTAGATGAGTTAGTATATACTGCTGCGTAGATACCAACGTCCTACTCTTGTTGCACGAACCACTCTCTGAGCGCATATATTTGTCGGTAACGTGGACGTAGTACAGCAAACAACAGCTGCCAGACCAATTGAGTCTACAGGCACAACAGAGGATCACCAGGTGATAACTTACCCAAACGGCAAGGCCGACACTCGTTGGAAGCACCACAGTCGCGATTACTCCGTCCGAAGTTGAATCTAGGCCATCTCCGATACATATAGGCTGAATCTGAGCAGCACTTCGATACGAAAAGACATGAGATGAAGAGTCGGATCCCGAAACAACAGCGGTTGAATATGGCACAAATATTGAGGTTAATTGGGTTACAGTGGGGTATGAAGGGGTATACATCACGGGGTATGGGCTTGAAGAAAACATTGAATCACCAGGGTTTGGTGGTACAGACAGCAGATTCAATATGGGTGATAGTTCAGCAGAAGGAGTGAGTGAATGAGTAGTTCCAGAGGCAGTTTCGGACCACCCTTGGCTTTGACCATCCGCTTGAAGTCGTCTAGGTCGTAGCGCCAAACCGGCGTCTGCGTGAAAAGTCATAAGAGCCCTTGGCTGGGCGGGTATACAACAAGTAGGTAATGGATGAGTAACTCAGTGGAGATTGACAATTTCGTTTCGGTGACCGCAGGTCGTAAGAAGGTTCAAAGTTTCTAAATGATGAACCGACCAACACCATATTCGGTTAATAGTAACCGAGTAAAAGTCTGCCTCCTGTTTCATGCTCACACCAACCAACCTTGTTCATTCCTCTCAGTTTAAGAACGTTGCTACAAGGACTCAAAATAGAATGTTATTTACGCCTCGGGTGTCGCGGCATCCTGCGCACGGACTCTGACTCCTGCCAGGACCTTACTTACGGCTGACCTGCGGTGAGCAATATCGAGACTACTTTACTACATGTGCTCCTTCAGACATGATACTGTAGTTTCCAGGACAATCAATTAATAAAAGTACAAATGCACCAGATAAGTTATGAATAGGAACACAAACCAGTCTTAGCGAGAACAAAAACATCGCATGGTCATGTGAACGTCAGCCTTTTGGCGCGCCCTTGATTGCGACATACACAAATCATGAAATCAGAAGATGAGTACATATAGCTACGTTTTATCATCAAAATGACGTATTTCCTGGACAGATACTAGAACTTACTCGTGAACACGAACGGGTGCTTAGTACGATGCATAAGACTTGACATGCATGGTCATAGCGCATCTCGATGAACGAACATCCCCTGCCCGTCCTCAAGGACTACAAAGACTTTATGACCTTCGACCCATGGAGCGGATTCTCTTTCAACTAGATTTGTCAATTCGTGTTTCGAATGGTCCCGTTTCTTCTTTTGTCTGCGTTTGAGCGACCAGGACTTAAACGCAGGCCGTGAAGAAGCAACGGCATGTTCCTTGTAATGGCGATTCCGCGGCCTGCTCTGTGATCCACCCATGGTATACAGGATGTGACTAGCTGTTGAACAGTAGATGATGAGTATCAAATACCTCATATCCGAACTTAAATCTTACAGATTGCTTTGAAGGTACGTGAAAGCAGGAAGACTAAGTCACTGGTGGGATCAACGAAAGACGGTGTATATAGATGCCACTGCACTCAGGGTTTTAAGACCTTGACATATTCCCCCTCGCAACTGTGGTGCCGGCGTGAGATGTGTGATGCGCGGCGGTGCTTGGGACGTTCGGCCAACATTGGGCCAGTACATCAATCAATATGGCATGGCAGTATCAGATCATGATGGGGGTCAAGTCAGGGTTCCAAAGTAAATTTATTTCAAGTCAAAAGCTGTGCATGCCAGTGGCAATGGGGCGAGCATTTAAATTTTAGCGCGAGTATTTCCGAGCAGCGAATCCTGTTTAAATTTGGTGGTATGAGTAGTTATACACCTAGTTGAGAAACTCCTTACTGATACAGAACGCGACTCAAATATAGCTTGGAGCAGTCAGAGGGAAGTTGAACAATGGAATGTTTCCATGGATTGCCTTTCTGGTCACCTAACGAAACAATCCACGTGGCGGCGTGTTGAAAGCTACACTAAGTACTGGTCTTTCGCGTAGAATCAAGCAGGGCACATTCAAATGGCAAGTACTGCTCTGAAGCATGTAAGTTCTCAAAGACCAGTCTTTTGTGTTGCTGGTACTGACAGGTCGGCGGCCCAGGCAACCGCGCCAACAACATTGCAGCAAGCACAAACGGCTGCATTGCTCGCGCTGCTTAACCTGAATGCTCCGTCCGATCCGAGTCCTGTTCAACGACCGGGAACACCGTCAGGAAAAGCTTCGACTGGACTCAAGGTTCCAGCAGTCACTGGACCTCCCGTATGGAAGGTCTTGGTACTAGACCAACAAACGAAAGACGTGTTGGCAACTGTTCTTCGAGTACAAGATCTTCGTGACGTCGGCATCACGCTCCACGTGTAAGTACCAATCATTTTTGTGATATTGCTCGCATCTAAGTTCTGCATAGACAATCACATTCTTTACGCCCTCCACTACCAGACGTTCCGGCCATTTATTTTGTTGCCCCCACGCTCGACAATGTGAAACGGATAGCTGAAGACCTCGACAAATGCTTGTATGAGTCCTTCCACCTCAACTTTGTAGAACCTCTCCCTCGTGCCTTACTAGAAGAGCTGGCAGCCTCTGTCGCCAGCGCCGGAACAGGTGACTTGGTTGAACAGGTGAGTATCTTGCACATGTCATTCTGTTTTCAGTGTGTTGATGCATGTTTCCAGGTTCTCGATCAATATCTATCATTCATTGCACCCTCTCCCTCACTATTCTCATTGTTGTCACCACTTCCTTCTACTACGCCATCTAGTCAAGCAGGGCCGTCCAAGGCACCTGTAACATCTTACACACTCCTGAACTCCCCATCATCCACCGAACAACAGATAGAAGGGGAGATTGAACGCATATCCAATGGTCTCTTCAGTGCTGTTGTTACAATGGGTGAGTGCGGTATATTGATGTATCGTCGATGGGTGACTTGAATATCGCACGGATAAGGCCACGTTCCAGTCATCCGCGCGCCCAAAGGCAATGCTGCGGAGATGATAGCAAAAAAGCTCGATATCAAGATACGAGATGCGATTCTTTCGGCCTCCCGAACTCACGGGGCTACGTCATCATTATTCGCGCAAGATGCATCTGGCTTGTCGAATCTGCAACGACCACGTGTGTTCGTTCTATTCTTCGTGGTGTCAAACTACTGACGCCGTTCCAGTGCTGCTGATTCTTGACAGAAATATTGATCTCGTTTCGATGATCTGCCATGGATGGACATATCAAGCCCTAGTGTCTGATTGTCTAGAGATCAAGCTCAATCGCGTAGTTGTTACTCAACCACAGAAGCGCTCATATGATCTCGATTCTAAGGACTTTTTCTGGGCAAAGAATGCACCAAACCCATTCCCTCAAGTCGCTGAAGAGATCGACACGGAACTGAACAAATACAAGCAAGATGCTGCCGAAATCACACGATCTACGGGTGTTAGTGATGTCAATGACATCTCGCAAATGTACGTGCTCTTCAAGCTTCGCCATCGTGTTTATTGAGATGAATCGTAGTGATGTATCTTCCAATGCTGCACACTTGAAAACTGCGATCACACAGCTACCAGAACTGACTGCGCGGAAGGCCGTTCTCGACACCCATATGAACATAGCCACCGCATTGCTGGAGCAGATCAAGAAGCGTGCGCTTGATGAACTTTTCAGCACCGAAGAGGCCATCAGTAAACAAGTGCGGCCTCATCCAGCTAGCTCGATATTCCTCCATATTAATTGATATCTAGACCGTTGCTTCAGTTTTGGAGATGCTCCGCTCTCCTCGTTCAAGCGGCACCTTGACACCGGAGGATAAACTGCGCCTAGTTCTTGTCTTCTACTTGTCTTCACCGGATAATGCGATCTCGAAGGACGACATTGTCGAGTTGGAAAAGGAGTTAAAGAATGCAGGAGCCGATACCGAATCATTTGAATATGTCAGACGCACAAGGGAGATCTCGCGGATGACAGTGGCTACTGCTGTTGGAGGAACCTCGACGCCCGTACTCGGTGCAGGCCAAGGAGAACTCTTCAGGGGCTTCACAGCATTCGGAAATAGAGTCAGTATTATCCTTAGCTCTCCCGACAGATTGTAACATTTTTATTATCTAGCTCACTGACCGACTCAAAGAAGGAGGTCTCGACAATCTTATCTCAGGTGTCAAGAACTTCCTACCGGCGAACAAATTGCTCCCTGTTACCCGAATTACTGAGGCGATCATGGACTCGTCTGCAGCTTCGAACCAGTCGCTGCAAGAAACGGATGATTACATTTTCCTTGACCCCCGAGCCTCTCGACACACTGGCCTCGGTCTTTCAGGAGGTCCAGGAGGCGGCGCGTCTGGAACAGCTAGAGCGAAGCGGATGGCATTTGCAGAGGGCATGGTATTTATAGTTGGAGGGGCAGGTTATGTCGAGTATGGAAATTTGGAGGAATGGGCTGCGAAGACTGGAAAACGCGTCACCTATGGCGGCACAGAGATCATTGATCCAGGTGCATTCGTCAGCATCCTTCAGGATCTTGGGAGATCTACTGCATGATACAAAATCGTATTCCCCTAGCTAATAATACATTGGACTTTGAGATAGATTGTAAACGTGGTGATACCAGGCATGAATGCTGAGCGGTGAACCATATCAATCGAGGACCAATTACTCGTCAGTTAATCACTTTCGGTTATTTTGGCGCATAGCCAGGATTTGAGCAAGGCGGATGCTGAGGGAAAAACTTGAGCCAGATGCCACGACGCAAAATTTGAAATCACTTACAAGATATTGATCATATCGAGCTCAAGGGCAACAGATTCCTTCATGGGATCCCTGGGAACGACACCCATCTCCGCCATACGTGCGTGCTGTAAAATCTTTTGGGTGCTGGGGGAAATAAGTTAATGACCGGATATGAAATGAATCAGAGGCATACTCATAGAGTACAAGCCCACCAAAGACGGCAAGACCTCCATAAAGGGAGAGGGTTTCCGCGACAGCGAGGCCACGCATACCTAACGGGAGGGCGAGTGGAGCGAGTGAACTCAAAGCGACGACTGTGACACCAGCCAATAGCGGTCCACCCATGTACAGATATTTGTCATTCCTAAGTGCTATTCAATTTCAGTTACTCACAACAAGTACGAAACTTACTTGGCTGTGGCGCCCACGAATGAAAGAGAACCAACCACGCCACACGTGTAGAGGGCTGCGCGAGATAAAATGGCAGGGCTCAGGAAGAAGAGCGGGCTTAGGGTTGCAGCTTGACACGCATTGAATGCCTGTATCACAATCAGCTCAGATGCTAGAAGCCTGTGTGATCAAATATACCAGCCAAAAAACGTGCTTCTGGAAGGTCTGCTCCGGTGGCGTGTAGAAGACACCCATCATGGATCCGATGCTACCCGCAAGACTGACACCGAGTACCACCCCTGCAAATAGAGCTTCAGAATTATTCCATGCTACTCTCATCTTCAAGCTCACAAGGGTTCGCGGACATGATTCTGAAGGCGACACCGGACCTGAACAAACTCCGGGCGGCAACTGCAGTCAATGTCAGGCCAGCCCCTGTGTACATGAAACTTTCATGTAAGTAGGATTGTTCAGCTGGGCTCAATCTATCGCGTGTGTCTCTGTTCAAGAAGCCTTCTGCTAGGATGACGGCGCCCGCGACAACAGCCTAATGAGCCGAAGCATATTCGAGTCAGAGAGAGAAACATCATGATTTCAGGCCATATTACCGCTGTGATTCCGAAACGCTTCCAAGCATCTTGAGATGAAGAGGCTGTCACAGTTTGTGCATCCGTTGTGACAGAACGCGAGAACCGGGAGAGCAGAGTGGGTGACAAGACGGTCGGGCGGTTTTGCAACACACTCCGTATGTTCGCATTATTTGATTGTGTGCGCATCGAGAAGGGCCGTACATGGGGCCGTACGATTGCCTTTGCCACATTACTGCGCAGAGAAGAGCGTAAAGTCGACGACAGACCAAGATACAACATTATAACGAAAACGAGACGAGGGGAACGCTAAAGAGACTGGCATGCAAATACTGACGCAGAATTATAACGGAACACTTGCCGACGGCGTGCGAACTACGTCACCGTGGTGGCACCAATCAGGAGCAGAGCAGCCTACTGATTAGCAACAGCGGTACATAGCGCAATAATAATAATATAATGCAGTCCAGGTAGGTAGGAAAGACCATCGATGATCAAGAACTCTGAAGCGCCGGCACCTTGCCAGGATCAACAATAGCCACCATCTGACGTTCCAGAGCCAGCGCAATCAAACTGGTATTCCCCCAACTCTGCCAGTCAATCTCGAATATGCCAGACTTCTCGCCAGTATACCATGACCATTTCTTCTCCTTCGACTGAATGGCTCGGTTTCAGCAAATGAAATTTGGGAGAGCGAAACGACTTGCCTTGACTTCGTATACAATCAACGAACCATCACCTCCGCCAGTGACGAGGTGACGCCCGTCTGGGCTGAAGGTAACGGCGTAGACATGTTTGGTGTGGTCCGCAAAGACCTTAGTACAAGCTCCAGTGACAGTATCCCACAGTCGGGCAGTGGCATCAAACGAGGCTCTAGTATATATGTTATAAAGCGAATACTTATCAAGGCCACAGCCTAAACCTACGTTGCAACCAGTTCAGGCTCACCAGGTCCAGTGACAGGACACCACTCTATGGAGGTGAGACATTGTTGGTGGCCACTGAGTATTACAGGCGGTGGTAGAGCTTTCTCGGAATGTACGTTTTCGATGTTCCATATACGTGCGGTGCCATCGTCCGCACATGATGCTAGCCGTGTTCGAGAAGGATTGCACTTGACAGAGTTGATCTCTCCTGCATGGCCCCTTGAAGAACATCAATTTTCCAACGTGTTTTGTGTGCATGAAAACTTACTCGAGAGTATGCAATGGCCCGGTAGCTGTCAAGGATAGGATGTGAACGACTTTGTCTGCACCGCAACTTGCGAAAGTTGAATCGTCCAGCCACTCTACATCCAAGCAGCAAGCATCTTTCCCTCGAGTTCAATAGGACACCAACTGCCATAGTCCAATGACATACCTCCGTGATTACGATACTGTCGATGTATTCTTTTTTGCTTGACATCCCAAACACATGAGGTGCAGTCTAAACTAGCTGTGGCGATCCATTGGCCGGAAGGTGAAAATTGCGCAGCGAATATGGGACCCTACCGAACATGTATAAGAAGAAAGAAGGATTTACGTTCTATCATACCTTATGGTGACTATCCTTGAAATATGTTTCCCCACTCGCTGTACAAATTCTGAGGATGGAATCATAGGAGCCAATAGCTACGAGTGAGCCATCATGATTCCAATTTAATGCTGTCAAATCAGCCTGTGAATCTAAAGTCAAGTCTGGTAGAGTTAGGGTGGGTTGTATGGGGGCTGTGTGATCATTATTTGGTCCACTGGGCACGGCCCAATAATTCACAACAGCATCACGCGACCTGGGTAGTAAGAGGTAAATTGCACAAACAGAAAATCAACACCATAAGAAGCACACCCAGAGACTAGCTGGCCCTTTGTAGCAGGATTCCACGCGACAACGAAAACCTAAGAGAAGATCGTGAACAGGGCGTCGAGAGTAATGTATTGATGCACACTTCAGTCTTGTGAGCCAGTAAGAACCGGACAGCACCAGGACGTGCTCCGACAACACTAGGTTTGTGTTTGAGCTTCTTAGTGGGAGGTTCTTGTAAGGCTTGCGGTGGGTCTGACTTAGCATCCTTCGGTTTTGGCTTTGGCGTGGGTGCACCTGTGATAATTGAGGACAGAGTGGAATTAACAATGGAATGAACACACCGTCGACGTTCATTTGCGCATCTTTCTCGTCCTGCTCCTTCCTTGCTCTCTTCTCAGCGCGGGCATCTTCAGAAGGAGTCGTCGCCTTCCTTTTGCCGGCAGTGTCACCATTTACTTTGGCAGCACTGGGCTCGCGAATATTGTTTGTGGAAGAATGAGGCTGGAGCGAACAAGCGTGAGGGTCTAAGAGTGAAAATGGAACTGAACAATTTGTAGACAACTCGTCTCCCTTCCAATGGGCCTCGACCTCGGAATACAGGAGCGCTTTGCTGAGAAGTTCGATAAGTTCACCGCGTGGAATATGCTTCTTGATGTGAGGTGACTGGTCGAGACGACCTTCCATTCGTATGGCAAAAGCAGAATGCTGGAAGCCTGGGCCAACAAGTCAGATGACACGGATAGCAAGAGGAATCGTCGGAACGGCACCAGAATCTAAAAAATAAGCATGTATGAGGCAATTGACCTGATCCGCTGTGATGAGAAGGGGCGCCGGCATGGCTGCTGCTCTCAATGATATGTATGCGTCGAATCAAGCTGGCTTAGCAAGGTCAAGCAATTATGTGGCGGAGTTGCAAATCATAAAGAGACAAAGTCGCTTCTAGCTTTCCACTCAAATTCAATGCTTGAACTTTCGAACTTATTTTTGTGTATTCATGGTAAACCGAATGTGCTTTCTGTAGCCCTCGTGAATGATATGCGCAGCCTGCTGGGTCTAATGTTGCATTGCGGTGACTCCTCGTAGGGAGTAGACACATATTATGATCCGTCACTGTCTAGTACAAACCTCTCCACGGAGGCAGATATCATGCTTTAAGGTCGTCACGGTGCACTCAGTCCGACGGGCAATCTGACTCGGTCCGTGAAGAGGTATTCACGTGGCTTGAGTCCATACGGCAGAGATAACCATTGGATAGCCGCACTTACTAAGTTGCGCCCAGGCTGCCAAATCTTTCTCACTAACTTAACACTAACACCCAAAATTCAGGGTTCGATCTTGCGCATCATGTCTGAGTACGATCGAATCGATTTCGAGATGCTCGAAGAAAATGATGATGATTATGATGGTCCCGACGCATATGTCGATGAGGAAGATGATGATAGTGTCTTGGATTTAGAGGACCTACAGGACATGATACAGGAGCGCACCGGAGTCGCACAGGAATCACCTATGCTGCCCCAAATATTCCTATGTGAGTTCACTCGCTGCAGGACATGTCCCGCTCATCCGCCGTTAACCTGTAGCGTTATTTAACTCGCAAAATGTACACCGGACTGACACTGGTGGTGACGGTAACAGCAGTGAACCCCGACAGCTCAGGACCATCGGTATCCAGGACTTGCATCATTTGCTGAATCCACGTTCTCTGGACTCTCCCACTGATTATGAAGAAGACGACGACGAAGAAAGTGAAAACGTAGGGGACTGGCACCAGGAGTGGTTCCCTCCGCACAAGGAACCCCAGCAGCCAGGCGTCGAGCTCCTCATGGGAGGAGAATTTGGTTCTGTGAGTTCGAAGTTAAGGAGCAAGAGAAACCAGAGGAACATTTCGCAAATGATCCTCGGCCAGTCTTCGCGACCCCGAGGAGCAATTTCTAGAGAGAATATGACTAGTGTGCGTTACTCTCTGGTATTGCATGCATCTACCTGAACTCATTACAGGAACTCATCCCGAATACGAACGGAATTGCCGTTGCATCCTACAACGCAAATGTTTACTGCGGGCAATTCTCGAGAGGTGAACAACTACTTGTTCCATTCCTGGTTCACCACTTGATGTCACTCGATAGATTCTTCGTTTTACTACACCTGCTGTCAAGGTGTGTGGTATGCTGCTCTTGTGGGACAGCAATTCATACTCCTCTCGAGATTTTCGTCTTCACATCTATGACATGACTTCGCCTCCTTCGCCATACATGAAGCGACCAAGGAACCTACGGCGCAGCGCTACAGGTGTTTGGGATGATAGCGACTGCGACCATGACACAACCCTCAAGATATTGAAGACTATACAGGGGTCTGCTGGTCGTTGGACGATAACAGATTCTCATTTGAGTCCTAACAACGAAAGGCAAGTGAATGTATCTTTCTTTCAGGTCATGCTTACGTTCTCATAGAATGATTTATTCGTCGATTGTAAGTGGAATGGCTCAGTAGTTTCCATCAACTTCAACAGAAATTAGTCACCCACGGTGTATATGACAAGCACACTCGACTCATCAGTTACTCAGACTCCCATTAACTTTCAGGAGCCTAATCACCGTCAACGGGCTCGCACACACTGGGGCTGGGATGACGAGAACTCGTTTGGCATCTGGAGCTGCAGGTTCTCTGCAGATGGAAATGAAGTCGTGGCTGGTGGCAGCGGTCAAATATTTGGTAGACTTTATTTTATTTTAGAGCTTGGATTCCTCATAGACGCTCCACCTCAGTTTATGATCTCTTGGCTGACCGTAGGACAGTCAAGATTATTGCACACGAAGACGACGTAAACAGCTGTTGTTGGGCTGACACTGCATCGGGGAATGTGCTAATCAGTGCCTCTGATGACACATTTTTGAAAGTTTGGTGAGTTCTACGCAGGTTCATCGACCTTCATTCTACTTATATGAGCAAAAGGGACCGGCGTTCATTAGGTGCATCACAAAAACCGTCAGGAGTCTTGGTGGGACATACAGAAGGTATCACCAACGTCTCGGCGAAAGGTGACGGTCGTTATATCATATCGAACGGAAAGGATCAGGCACTACGGTTGTGGGATTTGCGGAAGATGTGCAGCAGCGAGGACTTTGACAATGGTGCTAACCGCGACTACAGGTCACGTGGATTTGATTACCGGTGCGTTCACTCAGGTCTTAACTTGAGTGAGAATGAACCTCAACTGTCTTGCTAAGCTACGGTCATTACTCGAAACCAAAACATGCTGCACATCCGCGTGACTGTAGCGTCATGACCTACAGAGGTCATGCTGTCTTACGCACACTTATCCGATGTCACTTTAGTCCTGCTGAGACGACAGGTGGACAATACATTTACTCCGGTTCGGCAGACGGGAAAATACACGTCAGGGTCCAATTACAATCGACTTCCTGGTATCTAACACACGTTACTTCTAGATATGGTCGCTCGACGGACGCATAGTCCAGGTTCTGGATCGCTCGAAGACGTCGGCCATGACACTTGATCCCTTCGCGGAGGAGTGCATACTCCCCACTCGTACTCGCGGCACGGTTTGCGTGCGAGATGTCAGCTGGAACAGCAATGTCAGCCCATATTTTAACCCTTTGGTCGATTTCGCTGATAAGGATTGTTACAGGAACCAATGATGATGAGCGCTGGTTGGGACGGGGGTCGGTCACCGCCGAAGAGTGTTGTTGCGCGTCATGAATGGAGAGGTCTCTCTAAGATGTCGTACGGTCTGGAGGATTGGATAGAGAAGCGGAACATAGAGCGCAACGAACGGGCTACGCGTACCAGACAGACATTACGAGTTCCTGGTGCGTTTGATGTCGAAGAGGATGACTAGAGGATGTCAAGGACAGGCGTCACGCCTGTGATATCTATACCTTCACCTGGATATTTACATGTTGTATTGTACAGTTAGTCATTGTATCGCGTTCACGGTACCAATTGTTTGACGCTTAGTTCTACGGCATTGTTGTGGATTGGTCAGTTTATTCTGCTTACAATGAGCTACATGTCACGGACATGCGCATTTATTCTACTGAAGCTCCAGTGGACTCGGTAGTTTACCTGGCTGAAAAGGACAGCTAGGCAAAAGACATTCGACGCCAGACTAGAGATGCCCTCCGATGTACATCTTGTTGCAACATGGGCTGTGCCTCTGGAGGGTGTGCCTTTGAATGAGAAGCTGGCTGCCGCCGATTGGACTGCAGATTCGGAGGGGTTTCTCGACCCATGTAGCGCTGCCACTGTCGAAAGCATCCATATTCCCTGCATCCTTGTCATGAAAACATTGACAGTGTCAGTCATGATGCGAGCCGTGGGATTGACACAGCGACACATCTCGATGGACCCCCAAGGCGGCGTTCCCTCTTGAGCTTTCGGGTCTTGGAAGGCAGTACGAGGGATAAGTCTCGGAACACTACTATCTCGCACTGAGTCAAAGCTGAGACCCTTAGCGTGATGAAAAGCGCCGCCGAACTGATACGCTAACAATTTGAAAAGAAAAAAATTCGTCATTGTTCTCATAGTGCAAGTGAACAATCTCTACACCTGCATGCGATGCCAGAGGTTAACGATTTGGAAGTGACTGCGAAGAAGGGAGGGAACTTCTGTTGGTGGAGGATGCGAATGGAGGCCGGAAGTAGAGGTCGTCGTCGTCTGCATGTCATGAGGGTCATCAAACCAATTGCGAACCTGCCTTTCGCTATTCATATCGAGGTAAGGTCGACTCGAAGAGTCGTCAGGTGGAGAAAGGAAGTAGTTGGAGGTAGCGGTTGTGTCAGAAGCCATGACTAGTTTATTGGCGCTGGAATATGCATTCTAAGGAATAGCAGAGTCCTTGGTGATGCATGTATATATGCCTCCGAGGGTCGAGGAAGCTGTTTGGCTTACATATTGAATCTCCTAGTGTCTGCGTTATCTGGGGGAAGAGAATGTCATATACCGATGGCGTCACTGAACGCTGTTGAACGTTGAACCACGGGATGAGCAATATGAATAGTCGTAGAAGTTGACTGACTTTTTGCCACAAAGTCTTGACGTCAGTGATCTCCACATTTTGATCCGGTGAATGAATGGCCAACTTTAGTCAAAAGGGCCTCCAACTTTATGATAACCTACCGTATGCAAACTTTCACAGAACTTTGAAGTCGCAGACAACAAGACAGCCTCTCTATCCGTATCCAGTAGTTGTCGATTTAGATTTTTTCTTGCCTTTCGACAACCACGGCTACTATACCGCCTGGCGTGAGCAGGATATCTGTCCCAGACTCTGACGAGGATTGCACTTCTCAGAATTAGAGCTCCTTGATCATAATACTGACTCGACGAGTCGGAGCTCCCAGCACAGAGTCTCACCGAGATGTCGAAGTGCGGAGTAGGGTACGATTGAAAAACCTCAAATCGACTTTTCTAGTGCGGAGCTCAAAATTGTTTCATCAGTACCGTACTATCGATGTCTATCATATAGCTAGTACTTACACATGATCTGTCATGATGTACTTGACGTTGAAAGTAGATGGTGAATTACCCTGATTTACCCCCAACAATTAATGCAATGGCCGGGAAACTTATGTACTAAAAAGATGCCCCGGGGGTTAAAGGAGACAGGATTTCTCCAAGACATAATTGGCTGCGCAGTGCTCAGGCTGAGAATGCAGCTGCAGCCTGCGAAGCAGCATAGAACAGAAAATCATGCACTATGTATCATGCAATGGAGAACGACAGGTGGTACCTTCCTAGGTGGAACCAGGAGCTTTCCCTTTCTGGCGCACTTGCTGTGTGATCGCCCCGCCCACCCTTGACCACACCAC